TGGCGATCCGTATAACTCGGATTATTTGATATATTGTGTGCTAAATGTTTCGGATCATCAAATATGAAATGTTATGAGTGTATCACTGTAGATAAAGTTGAAAAATTGGGCAATACTTGTAATTGTAGTAGTGGATATTATTTTGAGAAGACCAATTCGAAATGTATTCAATGCCATAATAAATGTGAAAATTGTTATTCATCTTCAGATGACTCTTGTCTTAGTTGCAGCAACTCAGAAAATAGAATATTAGATGGTCTACGTTGTTCCTGTTAAATTGGGTACTTTGAACAGAATGATATTTGTGTCACCTGTCCAGGCATTGAAAATTCAACTCTGTATTAATGTTATAAATAATGTGGTGATAATTCTACAATTTGGTTTAATTAAGTTTGTTCCCCAATTTCATGTTTGGTTGGTTATGCAAACTAAAATAATCAATGTTTTCCTATATGTGGAGATCAGATTATAAATGGCAATGAGGAATGCGATGATGGCAATAATATTTTAGATGATGGTTGTTACAATTGCAGATATTAATGTCCTTAATAATGCTTGAATTGTAATCAATTTACAACACTACCTTGTCCACATGTTTGTGGTGATGGAATCATCAGTGGGTCAGAAGAATGTGATGATGGTAATCACATTTAATTTGATGGTTGTTTTAAATGCAAACTTGAATGCTAAATCTAATGCACATAATGCATGAGAGGTTTATGCTATTAATGTCTAACATATGGTTGGAGTGTCGATATTATTTCAAAAATTTGTGTAGAAAATTGTGGTGATTATATTATTATTGGAAAAGAATAATGTGATAATGGATACGATTTTGACCCTAATGATGGATGCTATTTGTGTAAGAGATAATGTAGGGATGACTGTTTAAGATGTAGTTCTGATGGTATAACTTGTCTAGAATGTAAGGTAATTGGATTTTAACCGGTTAGTTATTACTGTAAAAATATATGCGGTGATGGCTACTTAGCAATTGATCCTTATAATAGAAATACTGAGGAGTGTGATGATTATAATTTAGTTAATTTCGATGGTTGTAGCAATGAATGTAAGTTCTAATGTTAAATAACTATTTGTAAGACCTGTATAAATAACAAATGTCTCGAGTGCATTGATACTTATTATTTAGATCAAAAACGTAACAAATGCATAGAACTCTGTAATGATAACATTATTATTGGATAAGAAAAATGCGAAGACATGAATAATTCACTCTATGATGGATGTTATAATTGTTAATTATCTTGTTAACCAAGTTGCTTGATTTGCACTATAAATGGTTGTTAATCTTGTTTAAATGGATATCGATTAGTAGGTAATCAATGTTAAAACATTTGCGGAGACGGATTAAAAGTTCCAGGAGAAGATTGCGATGATGCCAACTTAGAATCGTTTGATGGCTGCCATGGATGTAAATACTCGTGTGACTTAACTTGTTTGACATGTTATTTAGGCTAATGTATAGGATGCCGGTCTGGTTATATGATGACTAATGGGTTTTGTGAGAAAAGACCATTCCTTTCTTCAATAAAATACTATACTTTGAAGGAAAACATAAATTATATTACTTAAAATCAACATTCTAAAGGGTTTAATGAATTTTTGTAAGGAAGCCCAATTAACGATGGCTTGTTTAGTCTGCGAAGACAATTTTTTATTTAAATACTAATAACCATTCTATATGTTAGAAGTATGTGCGGGGAGATTCTAAAATTAATGGATATGAATAATGCGATTACGAGGAACCCATAAATAATATAATTTGTAGCGAATGCAAATTTATTTGTAAAGAATATTGTGTGTTTTGCTTATTTGGAATATGTTTGTAATGTGAAGAAGGGTATTTTTTATAATTGGCGATTAATTAATGCGAGAAAGTGGTAGAATGTAATGAGATTGGGTTATATCCAGATTTAATGAACAATGTTTGCTATGATGTATGTGGAGATGGTCTAATATCCAAGGGAGAATAATGTGAAGATTAGAATGATGTTCCTAATGATGGATGTTATAAATGTAAATATTCATGTCATCCTGCTTGTCCTCTATGCATTTTAGGAGAATGTGTTGACGACGGGAATACATGTAAAGTTGGTTACTATTTTGATACTTAATTAGTACTATGTTACAACATATGTGGGGATGGAATAATAGCCATGCCTGATGAAGAATGTGATAATGATTGGTTTTTAGATGATGAAGATTATCAATGTTACAATTGTAAAAAATTTTGTAATAAGAATTGTGAAATTTGTGATGAAATTCAAAAATGTAGTCAATGCAAGAAAAATTATGAATTATTAAATGGAAAATGCTATTCTAACAACTTAAATCTTAATCAATGTTTAGTAGAAAATTGCAAATATTGTGAAGATTCTTAATGCATGGTCTGCTCAACAAATTATGTGTTAAATCCTTTTGATAATTTTTGCTAACCTATTTGTGGCGATGGAATCATTCTTGAAGGAGAACTTTGTGATGATGGTAATAGTATTAATGGTGATGGTTGTGATACAAATTGTAAACCATCCTCAGATAGTCTATGTGTAAATAGTTAATGTATCTATGTTTCACACCCAAAGCCTTTATTGAAATTTGTAAAAGAAATGGATAACTCTTAAATTGTTTATCTAACTTATGATTAATAAATCAAATTATCATTCAATTATTCTATACAAATGTTTATCAATTCCATCTCATCTAAAATCAATAATAAAGTTGTGAATGTATCATTTTCTGAAATTGGTTCAATAGATTAAGAATCTTGTAAATACTTTCAAATGGAAATAAAAATTTTGTATGAGGAAATAATAATTGATCCTATATTTTCTATAAGCTTTGCTGACCTTAATATAATCACAAATGAATTTGGAAAGATATCATACGAAGATGAAATCTCAATATAATTACCATCCCCAAATGTTTTATCTGAAAAATAATAACAAATTACATAATCTCTTATAAAGTTTAGTGGATATTAAATTAAAATAATAGCAGGTCTTATTTTGTTATCATCGTTAAGCGGAAAATTTGAAATTATTCAAAATCAAATTGATGTAATATAATAACTTTACTATTTAAAATATATAAATAGTAGAAAAGGTCAAAATTTAATTTAATATTTTGAAACTTTTAAGATTATTTAACTTACTAGTTTTTATGATTTTGTTGGATTCAATCCCTCAAATAATGCATTTTTTGGATTCTCATATTAAAAATCAGAAGCGAGCTTTGAAGAAGATGGGCGTAATGCAAACTATTTCCCTAATTTCATCTAGATTTCTACAGTTTTTGTTTTAGCTTATTTTCTTCATTTAGCAATTAAGATACTAATTAAATACACCATGAATAAAATCAAGATGTTGAAAATTCTGTATTTCAATTTATACATATTATATGGAATAAAAAATGTGACAAAATTTTCAATAAATAATTGGAAAAATAAGTTTAGTGAATAGTTCTAAGGATTGCTTTAAGCACTCCTTTATGAATACACTATATCCTCTTTCTTATCACTAATATATTAGGATTTTAATCAAGTGGAAGGAAAATTTGGTCTAATAGTTAATGGAGTCGTCATATATTTATTATTATATTATTTATTATACTAGAAGCACTAAAACAATAAATTACATGCTTAATTTACTTACTCAAGTTTGTAAAAGATGCTGTTTGGAACAATTCTGATTGTTTGCTTTAAGTCTACAATACTGTAAATTTAATTATGCGCTTTAAATGAATTCATCTATTTTTACCATTTATTTAAATAAAAGCAATAATTTGACAAATTTGGATTATTCAAAAAACAATAGACTCATTTTAATATATTTATCATAAATATCATGTTTTTGATAAATGAATTATACAAGGATAACCCTTTTAAGATTATTTAAATAGGATGGATTATTATTGCCTTAATGAGTTCAATATTAAGCATAACATTGTTGGTTGATATTTGCAAAATATTATCACCATTTATATAAAATCTAATAAATAAACTAAAAGCATAGAAACCAATTTTTTAAAATCATGAAATTTTGGATCCAATTTAAGAAAGAAATTTTATGTGATTTATTGATTGATATATATAGAAAAATTCATTAATCATATTTTCTAGTAAATTAAAAGTATGAATATATTTTAATATTCTTATTCTTTCAGTAGTAAAATTAATGAGATAATGTTATCCTTTTCTTATTTATTCATTTTGTTAAGTTCTACTAATAACCAACACCAAGGTTTTCTGATCTAATGATTGATATATCAAATGAAAATAAAAACAATAATTAACTACAGATTATACAAGCAACTATAATTAGAATTTGTATATATGCATTAGCAAAAATAAACTTAAAGTTTAAATATCTGAACGATCTAAAAGAATAGTTGAATTAGATAAGAATGTCAAATGCTTGCTTTGTTGCTTCTTCACATTAATTTCAACATACTTATGAAAAAATTATCTTAAATTAATTATTTATAAGTTTGAATTTTGAATTAGTTAACATGTCTACAGTTCCACCGATAAAATGCCCAACTCATAAGGATTACTTCATAACCAATATGTGCATATTGAAATAATGCACTGAACCTCTATGTCCTGAATGCATACCAAGACATATTAAGGACCACGCTGCAAATGGATAGATTCCATAGATAGAAAATATATAAAATGTTAGATAAGAATAAAAAGCAATGGTATTCGACATAGTGTAGAAGTTGAATGAACAAATGTTTTTATTAAGCAGTACAGATGAAATGGTGATAATGAATAATTTGTTTATGAAGCTGGAATAATCAAAATAAGAAATCATAAAATCAATAAATAAGAGATTTGATGATTATAAACAAGAGTTATAGAACAGATTTCGAGAAGTTAAAGGCAGTAAAAATGATAATAGCAAAGAAAGTGTTGACATAGTGAAGACAGTATTGATTTTATGAATATATTTTAGTAATTACAGAGGATGGATATTTTGCTTAATAAATTTGAAAGCAGTGATTACATTTAAGCAATTTTGGAAACCTTTTTTAATGACATCGGTCCATAAATATACCAAAATTTAGACAAGAGATGTTAGGAGTATCAATCATAATTTCCAGATATAATGATTAGCAATAATGTTCAAAATTTACTATTACAGGATTTGGATTAATATATATAAATTTGTAATAGAAACTAGAAATAAAGAATGGTATCATTAAGAGATCAAGAAATTGTATAATAATTAACAGGAGAAAAACCAACTCAAGTCTAAAATTAATTCTAATCATCTTAAATTAAAAAAGAAAATCAATCTGAGATTAATCAAAATAAGGAGAGTAAATAATTACTGAAAAATAATGTCTATACAAAGTCTTATTAGAGCAGCTAAAATTAAAATATAGCTAGGGAATTCCCTCCCTCGCAAACATCTTTCAAACCATAATTTGTGCACAATACCTCTGAATTAATAAAAGCTATGTAAGATGATTAAGTACAATAGTTGAAAATAGTAAGCCAATAATAAAATAGTTTTATCTCAAGCAGCGAAGAAATCTTAATAAGTTGTTATGCAGATTAAAGAAAAATATTGATATATAGAATGCCAAAATTCATACAACCAATGAAAAATCTCAATATTTCTGATTTCTAGGAGATTAATTTGATTCTAGATAAGAGGATTGCAGTTGGACACTAATGTATAATGTATGGAAAAGACATATTAATAATGGGAGGGATTGAAAGAGATATTGATAGAAACCTAAGTATTCAGTCAGTGTACAAAGTTAATTTGATTTAAAAGACTTTAAATTTACATTCAAATATGATTCATAGAAGATAAGGATTTGGGGCTTGTTTAGTTGAAGCATGCATTTATGTTTGTTGTGGGTCATCAACAGATTGTGAAGATAGTAGTATTAATACTCTAGAGAGATTTGATGGCCAGAGATGGACTCCTTTGAGATCATGTATGCATGCTTGTACGGGATGTTCATTAGGAAACATAAATAATGAATATTTAATTAAAATAGGCGGAATTGATAAGCAATATATCAATATTTAAACTATAGAAGTTTATTCAATTAGATAGAACACTTGGTTTGATTTGTAGATATATGACAGTCAAGGAAATTTGTGGAATGAAATACCATTGCATAGTGGAATAGCATAGATAAACTAAAATGAGTTGATGGTATTTGGTGGTTAAATAGGTGAAGAATTCACTGATAAGTCTTATGTAATTACTCTGGATTTCACTACAAATACAATTAGATCTGGAATTGTAAGAAGGTATTATTATTGAAAATCATATTTAGAGGATTTCAAGTGCCCACTACCGGATATGTCGATTAAGTTAAGGTGTATGAGAATTCCGTTTACGCCATTATGACCGAAGGTATACATCTAGTTGGAACCAAGAAAACTGTCATTAATTGTAATAGTGATAAATGGATATATATTAATAATATTAATGAGTGATATATTTCATAAATTAAGCAACAAATAGACTCTATCTTAGAAATACAATGCCAGTTTAAACATAGATTATAAGTTAACTATAGTTGATATCTGTTCCTTTTCAACATTGAAGAATTAGGATTTTGATCAAGAAGACAAGATATTCAAAATTATCAGATTTATTCAGTGATCCTTAAAATGCGAATAGCACTTAAGTTCAATTATGATAGATTTAACAATTTAATGACTAAAATGCAGATGCTTAAACTGAAGAGTTACAATTTTTTTAAAATGATATCAAACTATGGTGGAAGGATGAAAATAATAAAAATGGTGGAAAGATTCAATTCGACATTTCACCAGTTTATGATTAAATTTATTCGGATTTTCTATTAGAAATTATAGGATATTGATTAAAGTTAATTTATTGAAGAAAATTTCATTCAATATTAATTGAATCAATCAGTAATCATAAAGTGTCTCATAAAGAATGAGCACTAACTTTCATAATATATAATTAATATTATAAATGGCAACTGGTGTTTGTAATTTACAAAGATTGCTTCCAATACATAGTTAGCTGAAGTACCAAATCCATTTGTAATTTTTATTAATTGATGATAATTAAGTGAAAGTAAGAGATGATAACGATGAATATTTTATGAAGGAGAATTTTATAAGTTTGAAAAATGAATTTACTATTTAAAAATGGAGGAAATAATTAACAAACAACAATTCTAAACCTTTTCATGAACTACTAATTTGATGGAATCTGAAGAAAATAACTGTAAGGGTCATATAAAATTTGCTTGAAAGAAATAAATCGAAAATATTATTTACTGTATGAAAAATTGTATGTTAGTGGGAAGCATAAGTATTAATATAGGAAATACAACTATAATTAATTATTTAAGAAGTTCTTATAACTTTATTGACTATAAATAATCAGAATAATCCAAAATATAAAAGTTCAAAAATACTGTAAAAGGATACAATAAACTCTTATAAATAGAATACTAAATTATAACAACAAATCTTGACAAATTTATCTGTCATGAGGATCCATAAATTCGATTTAACCATTTTAATAAAGGTTGCAACCCTTAAGCATATATGAAAGTATATCAATACAACTAATAGATGATATTATGTATTTGTTATTCTTTATCTTATATAATTTAAAATTTTTTTTCATAAATTTTTTATAAATCATTTGTTAAAATTGATTTTATTTTCACATTTAGACGGTCTTCACATTTTAATCCTTTTAAGTGATTAACTGCTACTATTAGTAAATAGTCAATTTAGTAGCATTAAGATTGTGATATACAACTATCTTGTAATGTCAATATAAAATTACTATTACTCCATTTTATGAATCGTTTCCTGTTACACTCTAAAATATAATAAGTATTCAATAGTAATATAAAATAGAATAATAGGTTATCTATTATTTTTGGATAACATACTTGGGGAGTACTTTACTAAAATTACTGATTTGTTTTAATTTTATACCTGTATATTCTAAATATTTTTATAATTATTTTTACGTATTAGAGACCAAAAAAAACGAGAGTCAAGTAATAAAAAATGCAATTTAAAGGAGAAACGGTTTGAATAGACATTTATTGTATAGAGCGCAAAATGTAATGTAAGAACATTTGGAGAGATTAGCCAATAAATTAGAATACAAGGTGTATCCATACCATATAAATCACTACGATCCAGCTCATACTGATTATATTCCAGCCCAGAGACAAGATTATAAATAAAGATTGGTAGTGGATACTCATAACATGCTTATAGATGGAGTTAAAAGAGATGTGACCATGTAAAAATAAGTTGATGAAGCAATTAAGAACTTAGATAGACCTTATTTAAAAGGGAAACATGGAGTTACTAAGAATATTACTGGTGGATTTAGAGATTACTTCCCTATTTAAATACAATATGGATAAACAGGAAATCTCTAGAATGAAGAATTGGGATATGAAAATGTGTTCAGAAATGAAAAAAGGTGGATTGCTTAAATTATATATCCAGTTGAAAAACCGGAAGCGATAGGAGACATGAAAAGGAATTGGAATCGAGGCCTATGACATGAAAGTTTCATCCGGATAGAGGATCAAAATATGATGTTTAGACTCCTTATCATTTAAGATTCCCATATCTTGCAGATATGATCTATGAAAACACAAGGTTATAGGAATGGTTGAAATTTGTATGGTGGACTGGAACATTCAGTTTTGCTTGGATTTGTTGGGTATTACCATATAACATTGTATATAAAACCAATCTCATGTTTGATCATTATATTGATACCTCCTTTTATCCTTAACATTTATATTCTATCTATAATATGGATTAATGAGAATCAATGTATTAGCCGCAACTGCTGCTTCTGCTTATCTATGGTATTTCCATCATATGTCTATGAATGATATTGGAAGGAACTACTTTACAAAATTACAATAAAATAAAGATAAAGAAATGATATTTGTCACTAGGATGGGTTCATTCGGTGTTATTAGAGAAGATGTATTTGAAACATATCATCATGAAGTATTGCCATACTACACCAAATTTGGTGTGTAGAATATGAGACAAAATGTGTAGACTCATTTCATACTATTATTTAGGATTTAGGAATGTATGAGATGTCTTGCTTAAATAAGTAGGAGTTGATGTATTTAAAAACACAATTTCTGACTAATCATACTTAATTGATATCCAAATAATACTTTGGATTAAAGAGGTAATTGTCAAATCAAACTTTAAAATTGGAATGAATAAGAGGAATATAACAAGACTTAAACTATAGGGGAACTACCATTAAAGATTTACCTGCTCCATGAATTATGATTCATATGCATATTTTAAAATATTAATAATGGACGTTGATGTAAAACAAGGCCGTCTAAAACCAGTCCGTAAGAACGGATTAGTGAATGGAATCAACCCTTATTAATCTCTTAGTTGGATATACACTCTTTTCGATATAGTTATAGCATACATATTTGCTTTTCAATTTGAAGATAAAGGAATTAAGGTATTAATGATTTCATTCAGGAACTCCAATTGATAGTTCTAACAGTAATAGTTACTTGCATTATTTATTCTTGTCTTAGAGCAACATTAATAGATCCTACAGATTCAGTCGTAAAGGAAGAGCAATTGTCAAAACTACTTGGGTAATATTAAATAATTGATATTCAAAAAGCAAAGAATTTAAGACGGATATAAAATCCTATTGTTTGGTATGCTAAGCACATGTTCAAGAGAAAACAAAACATTGTTGGAGCTGTAATAAGTATAAGATTCTAGCTATTAGATGCGTATCGAAATTTGATCACCATTGTATTTGGTTAAATAGTTGTATCGGAGACTAGAATTACTCATATTTCTTTATTTTAGTATCGTCTTTAGTTGCACTCAAGTTATTTAGATTAGGCTAAGATTTTAAATTGCTTTATCTTCAAACCAATTATGAGATTTTAGTTTATATTTGTATTTCGGTAGACCCTCCTGTATTTCTTGTGTTAACATACTTATTATCCATGCATTTATATTTCAAGTAAGCACCTTACATTATTTCTAGATGGAACAATATATCCACTTATGAATATATCAAGTCCAAAAATGCATCTAAAGATCAAATGATAAAAACATAAATTATATAGAAAAAATAGATTCAGAATGAGAGCACTACTGGTTATGGATAATTATTATCAACATCAAAGCGTTTCGATTTGAAATCTCAACTATCTTTAAAAACGGGAGATTAAAAGTCATCTAATCCAAACTATTTCTCGAATAAATAAGAAGAAGACAAGAAAAACAATTAATAAACAGAACCATAACTCATATAAATTCCAAGCTTATTTACATCAAAGCCTACTTCTCCTGGAAATGATTAAGATAAAAATTAATATCTTTCTAAATTGTCAAAACCAAAAGATTTGGATGATTTGAAAGACAAATAGATTTATAAGTAGGTTATAGTTGAGGATTCAGAACCATAGTTAAATGAGAGTTCTGAAGATGATGATGATAATGATGATAATGATGAAGATGATCATTTTCATCATGAGAAGCATCATCATTGTCCTCAAAATAGCCATACATCTGATATACCTTATAATCTTGAGTAAATAAATATTAAAGTCGATTAAATAAGCTAAAAAGATATGGTGATCAAAAAAGAAATAGAGCCAGTTCTTGATAAAGAATCTGTTAATTAAGATCCTGAATCAAATTAATAGTCTCTTCATGTTAACGAACCTCCTACACCTTCAAAATTTTATGCGCCTGCCTAAGAACTAAATGGTAATCAAAATACGATACTATAACTAAATAACCAATAGTCTTTGTCAGATCATTGCACTCGATGAATTTTGATTTAATAATAATTAATTAAATAATGTTATCTAAGTTTATATAAAAAATCTCCTATAATTTACAAGTTCCATAGAATCAGACAAATTGTGAAAAATAAAGTGTTATTATGTAAAAATTCAAATACAATTCTTCAATTGTAATAAACCTGAAGTATAATTCGGATTAGATTACTCTAATTTTATCTGACTTCTAAAAGAAAAAAGATAATTTTATTTCAGTACTAAGGCTAACTTGCTTATATAATATTTTTTTTTATCATGAGCAAAGATTTGGATTACATGAATTTCGAATATTTTTTTTTACAAAAGTCACAAAAATATTAAAATATCACAATTTTTGAAAATTATTTAAAAAGAGGCTGACCACATTAAACTGAGTTTTCATTTTAAAGATATCTTTATTTACCCAAGGACTTGTATTAGATAACTGAAAGAAGATACTCATTTATATTAATGATATTACCAAAGATACTTGAAAAATTCTATCTGGCGATGAAGTTGGAAAAAGGATTTCTAATATAAAAATATACACTTGATCAACAGACTATTAATTCTAAAGCAAAATAAAAATATTTATAATTATATATAATTTTTTTCAGATATGAATAATAGCACTGAGATTAGGAATGACTATGTAATTGAAAATTTCAAATGCTCTTTTTTGAATTGCAGCTAGAGAGAATAAAGTCTTGTACCTTCTGATAATAATTTTGTGTATTTCTATCAAAAGCAAAATCCCCCTTCATTCAATATGAATGAATCTGAATCTAGACAAATAGAAGTTATAGAACAAATAAACACTATATAACCAGTGGAGATCAAATTCATTTGCCAGGGATGTAACAATGATATGATGAAAAAGCCAATTTAGCTTATAAAATAAATTAGTGATAATATTAATTTAGAAAATTAAAATAGATATGAAATCTTTTTAGATAGGGATGGGAGAGAAACTCCTTATCCTCCTAAGAAAGGTAAATTTACAAAACAAATGCAAAAATGCAAAAAATGCTTAGACAATGAAATTGAAATGTAAAATTTTGACCAAAATTTAAAAAATTACATAAATAACTAAGATGATATAGATATTAAGATTATGATTGCAAAATATTATGCTCAAGAATAAGTATAAATAAATCTATCAACTAGTATAATAAAGATAAATAAATGTTCCAAATTTTGAGATAAAAACTAAATACTAATTTGGGGCCAATTGAAAGACTAATGATTCTGAATAAAATGAAAATGATAGTTAAGAAATATGAATGAAGTATAATTTGCAAAAGAAAAATTAAAATATAATAACTAGAATAATTAACCATTTATTTTTTTAGAAAGTATAAGTTTGTTAACTCTCTTAATTTTAGTAAATTGATTTTTTTCTTAATTAGTTTTAATATATTCAATGTATTTCGAAATTATGTAATTATAAGTTCTTTTAAAGTAGTTATGTTCATTACGGAACGAACAAGAGAAGGAGAAAGAATTCTTCTTAACTTCAATTAAGTTGTGCCCGGGGGGAATTTGAATTACTTTCAAATTAATAGAATATTTGATCAACAAGCTTCGGGACTCTAAAATTATTATGAATATTCAATTCCCCACTAATAGAGTTGACATTAAAGGTTGGCGCATCTTCAAAGCCATATTCTTAATTAGGAATTCGATAGATACTATTGAATTTATATATTCAAATTACTCGTTTATATGATACAAATTTTATTAATAAAATTGCATCAAATTTAGACTATGGGAGCATAAAATTACAGAATTCAGGAACTCTCTTTTGTAAAGGATCTTATATGGATATCTTCTGATTTAGGAAGAAGCAGTCTTTTGCAATTCGGAGATGATGTTATTGTGTTACTTCTCTAGTAAACATAATAATCATAGTCATATACAACACCATTCTTATGCTTATTCCTTAAATTGGACATATTATTGACTTAATTTTCATTATAATAGTTAAGAGAAGCATTTAAATTACTAAACTCATTTAATAATGTATCTGATTTTAAAAGAAATGACATGATCTTCAGATATAAAATAGTTATGAAATTGAATATAAATAATAAATATCAAATATACTTTTAATAATATTAAATATGATTTATATAATATTAACAAATAATAATGCATAAACATAATATGCATAGCGTATCTGCACATAGACGAATTATTTCATCCTCCATAAAACCTTCAGTAAGCAGAATAACAAGTGCACAATCCAGATCCAAATCAAACAATATGATTGTGAATTAGAGTCCTTTAGGTTTTTTCTTAGAGTAGGCTATACCAACCATACCAGAGAAATCTAATGTTCCGTTAAAGATTATGGAAAAGTATTTGGAAGAAGGGTACTTAATCAACAACCACGAATCAATTGTGTCCACTTTAAAAATTGTGTCAGGAGAGGTAAGAAAATACTTATAGTATAATTTTATCTACGTTTAAGATCTTCCTAAATCATATTAATTTTAGGAGAAAGATCCTAAATTATTGTTTCGCATGTATGAGACTCTAATAAATTTAGATCAAACTATAATTCAGGATCTATTTGATAAAAAATAATAACTGGATGACTCTGATCTTAATAAACAGCATCCTAAACATTATTTTAGATTTGATATTTTAATTAAGTTCATTGAAATATTGAGTGAACTTGTGGCATGCATAATAAAGATTATAGATGACAAAGCCATTGCAATATTTATTGAATAAATTTGGAAATCATTGGTTATGATTTTAGATTTGAATACTCAATGGTAATAAGATCGTTTTCAATCTTTGGTCGATGTTCAAATAGGAGGCTATTAGCAAAGTTTAGAATAAATAACAAAAGAGTATAAATAATTGGAAGAAAAGTAGCAAATGCAATTACGAGCATATTAATTAAAACTTGCAATTGAATAAAAGAAGAATATCTCATTAAGAGAAGAGAATAAGAAAATTTGTCAATAATACAACCATTTAGAAGATCAGATAAGTGAACTGAGCAATATAGAACATGCCAAAGGAGATCTTTAGAACATCAATCAAAAATTACATGAGATGGACTTAAATTTCATTAAATACAATAAATATATCTACGAATCTCATTAATAAGCATCCACTTCTATGAAGCAATTAGCTAAAATACTGACAGCTAAACCCATTATACCGAAAACTTTCATACAATAAAAACATGAATAACTTAACATCTATTATAAAGATCAGAAACCTTGTGTTGAATTGATGATCAATCCATTAATATCCTAAATTGAAATAGAGTTTTATCATGTGGATCAATTAAACAAGAAATAATTAGCCAGTGATTTTCTTCAGTTTCTATTCCAAAATCTCAATGCTTATCCTTCCTAATCAAGCGTTGAACTCTATTTATTATGGATTCATGCTGATGAATAACAATTTGTCAATTGTCGTATAGATCTGTTAAATAAATTGAATCAAAATAATAACAATGACTATTATATCAATGTATGTTAATAAATCCTGGGAATCAACACATAATCTCCTTCATCTCACAAAGTCATAGAAGACACTTAAAAATACATTAAAATTATAGAGCTAGCATTCTTGTAGTAAGCAACACAAAACTAAAATTAACAAAGATCTAATTTATATCTTAAATAATCAAGTGTAATCGATTTTGAATTGGAAATTAATTTAGCAAAGTATTGTACTTATGGTCTATTACTGTAGTTATTCAATCATATTGCCTCAATAATTATATGAATACATTGAACAGACGTGTCCGTCCAACATGAAATTAATAGAGTTTACACATCAAGCTATTCTATTCCTCTAATAACAAGAGAGATTAAAATGGAATTCTTTCGCTAAGTTTTATTTGAACAATATCAATAAATTTAGTTATCGATTAGATATAATTGATTAGTTCTACAATATAGATGTTTTTTTGGTATGTAATTGTTATTTATCCTTAGATTTGGTAATTGATAATTATTCATTAAAGATCTATGATAAACAAGAAACAAGATGAAGTAGTATCAATTGAAGATTTCATTGAGCGTCTATACTAATTGTGGGTCTATCATCCAAGGTGTTTAATAAAACCATAATAAGAATTGCAATTGACTTAGTCGAATTCCCCTATGGCTAAAAAATCATAAGCACAATTATCTTAATAAAAATAAAGTCCTCAAATTAGAAAACAAGGGACTATGCTATCCGAAACCTCTCGGAAGAAATGATTAGTATTAATTTGTTTTTAAGCTTTATCATATAAGCAAAAATAATAAAGATTATTAATTAAATAATATTAGAATGAGAAATAGTGTTATTTAAGAGAAGTTACTTCAATATCATAACAGCTAGATGTCAGATGTACTGAAATATTTGTTAAACTCCAACAGTAAAATAACTAATCAATCCACAAAGTTACCTCCATTATCTATAACAGAATCAATAAAGAATTCACCAAAAAATAAAAGATCACGAATATATTCCTTGAATCAAGACATTACTTAATTTGAAACCTCGAGAATTGATTTAACTTAACAAATTGAGAATGGAGATTATACATTTAAGGATTAAATTTAATAATCTACTGCAAAATATCCAAAATTGAGGATGCCAGAATAGACTGAGAGATCTATAGATGCAAGTCCTTCGCTTTAATCAAACAAAACACTCAAGGTAATTCAAAAATGAATAGAAGTTTAAATATCCTTCAATGCTCGAGTCAATCAGATACAAAAAACAAAACTACCTCAGCTAATATTTGGAAGAGAATGTCTAACTATTTAGTGAACTTATCAAGAAGAAAGATCTAGAGAAATTGATATAATTTTTAAATTATCCCGTCCAATATTCCTAGGAATTAAATGTAACTTTGATATTATATCATTTTAGTAACTTAAATTATTTAACGAATTGTTGTTTTTTGTTGCTTATTTTGCCAATACAATTGTCTCTTTGAATAAAGCAGCCTATTTATTAAAGGATTGTCTGAAAGTATCAGAATTAAGTAGAGATCATATCTTAAAAATAAAAATTCTAATTCAATTTTACCTGATTGCCAAACAGTATCAATATTATTATAATTCATTTTATAGATTGAAACAATATGAATAAGCTCGCAAATTTATACAAAAAGCATTAAATTATGCATGGGCTGATAACCTTGAAGATTATGAAATTGATTGTTATGATAAGTTGGGAATGTGCTATTTTTATATGGGCAACATAAACAAAGCCAATCATTTCCACTCTAAATGGGCTAAATGTGATGTTGAACCCAAGAATTCTTATTATAGATTAACATCAAAAGATTTTATTAAATTATACGAAAAATAATTGCCAATTTGTAAAGAATTTGATGACGTTATTTCAAGATATCTTCATGTCCCTTTCATTAATATTAAAACAGGGTAAATGTTTGATTCACACTCAATTATCAAATATAATAATTGCATTGCTCAATCCATTTTAGATTCAATTTTATAAGGAACAGATTTCCTTTAATTTCAAATCGAATATCATTATATTGATATCAAAGCCAAATAACATTTAAATAAAGCTGCTTTGCCTAGGAGAGCTGTGGAGATTATGGCTAAGTATGAGAAAAATAACGACAAATATATATTTGATCACAAAATTCATGAAAATCCAATCTATAAATTATCCTTATAGGATAGAGTTAATTACAGAAAAACTAAATCCTATTCACTTGATTAAGTATAAAAAAATATAAGAAAATATATTGCTGAGCAAAGGGAACCATTCTAAAAGAGTGATAAAGTGTATGTTAAGGAGTCTTAAAGGAAAGATCTTATTCCCTAAAATGCAAATTAATTGTCAATAAGTTTTAAAAAGATGTTTCAGAACATTGTTAACTTAGAGTGATTACATATTTCTTATACAAAATTATTTGATAATTTAACATCAAATTTATTATTATAATTATAAAATTGCGTAATGCAAATTAATGATAAAAAGACTTCCAAAAGTAGGATACTCATAGAAATGATCCATAACTATTAAAAACCTGTTTAAGAGATTATGCTCCTAGAAAAATCTAAATTGAAATCAATTTAAAAAATAGAGGAGAGATTTCTTAAGAGTGAGACAAATAGATAATATGTGTTCCCTCGAACAGAAGAAGAATAAATAGAGTGCAAGGAATCTCCTAAATAATAATAGTAATTGATCTCCCTAGATAATATTACAAACACAAAAGCTTTCAAAGAATTGATGAATAAAATATATTAGATTAATACTTCAAAGCAGAAGCCTAAAAATTATTAATAAACAGAATTCATCAAAAAATAATATTCTATTCAATCATAATTGATAAGAAAACCAACCCAAAAATAATCAAATTAAATTAAAACTGAAATGTCAGATATTAAATAAAATAGACAAGATAATTCCAGTTTTAAATAAATGTCTATAACTTAATCTAGAGGACAATCACCACATAATAAACTTCAATATTCTAATAGATCGATAAGTTCTTAATTGACTAAATTTTTAAAAACAAAAGAAAAATTATCCTTTTGAGATTTAAGATCAAAACTCACAAAGAAGTTTTGAATTAAAATAGCAATTATTAAATAAATCTTAAGTCAAGTTATAACAAAATAAAAGTTACGATTTTGTGAAATCATTTTACAAAATGAAGATGAATAATGAAAGTAAGATCAAATGATTATAAATGAAATTAGATCTTCTCTAATAATCCTTTATTATAATATTAATTCTAGATGTAAATTTTAATTTTATTCCTACTTGTGGTTTACTTTTTCCCCCTTTAATTATTTAAATTCATTCATAGAATTTCTTTTTGTTATTCCTAATTTAGATTCGAATTAGTTTATATGAATAATATCATTATCAAATTCTAGTATAATAATTTAGTAAAATTTATTTTCTAAAAATAAAATGAATTTGTCTATAGAGAATAAATTTACTCTAGCGATCCCTAAAAGAGAATATACTTCTAATTGAATTACAAAACTTTTAAGCTTAATTAAATAATATTTTATCTAAACTCTATTAAATTAAATGTATTCGTTAGATAATAAGTGTATTAACTAAATTAAATGGTGTATTAACATATAAATTTCAATCTGTAAATTCATCAGATTCATTTAGGATTAGTCCATTTTCATGGTAGTCTCTTTCTTGAATGGCTTTGGCATCATGAAATGTTCTTTGAAGGATAGTGTGAGACAGAACTCCAATTCTGAGATCCATCTATTTAATTTCCAACTATTAAATAGTAATTATAATTTAGATACTCTCAATTTAGTGAGACTAGCCTTGATACTTATGACAGGAGATTAGTTAGTAGAGACACTACCATGTTCATTCAATTTGTTTTAAACAGTTTCAAATTTCTCTTGTATTTGTTTGTATTAATCAGTCATTTCTTTTTTGGCATTTGTGTAGTTCTGATACTAGAGTTCAATCTTTTTATATTCTTCATTTTTCTTTTTGAATTCAAGGCACTAGAATTAAGTAGATTGCTTACCATTTCACTCATATTCTCATTGATATTATATTCTCTTTTTGTGATTCTATCCAAGATCTCTCCCAATTCATCACTAATTCTCTCTAATTTGATTCTTGCTTCTGGGAGAATAGTTTTAATTGAATTTGAGTATTGTTTGGTGGCATCAAAATGTTATCTCCATTCTCCTGCATCAGGTTTGATGACTATCTTAATCTTCTGAGCGGCTCTTTCAACTTCCTTAGCCCATTCCTTTGGATTCACATTGGATTCTATCACCATTTTGTCTTCACTTTTAGATTTGAATAATATAGTTACTCTTTTTGAAATCCCTATTCAGTAAATACATCTTCAGGCTCTTCTTCTGATGCTACATCTGGATCTGAATCTGATGACACACTTCCTGTTTCTTAGACTGGTTCATCATCTTGTCTTCTAATGGATTAGGATGATTAGTTACGTTTAAGACTATTATTCAATTTTTGCTTTCTTGTATTGGAATTTCTTTTTTTGTAATGCTTTGGTTGCCAATTACAGCAACACATAAACAACATATTCTCCAAATCCTTATTTCAATTTAATTGGAGGAAAGTCAACTTCGATCCCAATATTTTTCAATTCATTTACTATTACATATGTATAAAGAAATTACTTATATTCTGAGATAAAGTCACAGGATCATCAAGTTTGTTAAAATCACTGGTCTGTACATCGTTTTATTGAAATAGCCATTTGACTAATCTATTCAAATACAATTCAAAAGTTACGTTTTGAATTAATTGAATTATTCACTAGAATTAGTTTGATTTACAAAATATGCTCTATTCAATGGTTTACCACCTCTAGTTATAGATATAGAACTTCACTTACTTCTATTTTAAATAACTTTGTTCATAATTCAATAATATTAATTTGTCATACAACTCATCCATCATTGCTGTTACATCCAATTAATCCTAAAGAATTACTAATAATTGATTACTTAACCTGATTACTATTCAGACATTTATAAATTAATTAATATTTGAATATACTGTTTAATATATATATATATATTAATGTTCTCTCAAACTTACCAATTATGCAACATGATTTTTTGTAATGACAACAAGGCATTTTCTCTAATCATCTAATCATCATTCCTTGCTTATTTCATAATTTCTTATTTTGCATTTAATTATTCCAAAACACTAATGAATTTAAATCATAATTCATATTACACTTTACCAAATGGATGGAATCTACAAAATTCTCCCAAATCATAACAAGCCACAGCAATATTTTGATTATTATTTGATTTCAAGATTTCTGCTAATTTCCTATACTCTAAAAATACATTAATTACCTAATAAGTAAGAAATCATTTTCTTCGAATTTCTTGACATTCTCCTTCCAGAATTTCTCAGTATGTACTGGACTCCAAGTTAAATTTTGAGCATTTAATTCCTTCACATATTTTTCAAATGAACTAACATTCTTAATCAATTTATTTACGTTAAAATCTTCATGTTCTTCTCCAATATCTCTCCAACATATTTGATATCATCTATTAAATCTTAATCCTTGAGATTTCCTTTCAACAATAAATCAACCACTTTGATTAATCCATTGTCAACCATCAATTCAATGCATTAGGCTGATACATCAACCAAATTCTTGAAACAAGCAAAGGAAACTCTCAAGATTTTTTCTCTTGAAATCTTTTATACTGATTCTATAATCATTCTGATCAAACCAAGTTGTGGGTCATTGAATAATGGAATTGATTCATTAGTGAAACTCAATAACCATAATGCTAAAATTGTGTAATAAGCTATATGCAAGTCTGTTGGATATTTGGTTAATTGATTAGATACTCTATATGTATATAGATATAAGATTATTACATCTTAATTCCACCACTCTTTATAAATTATATTGCTAATGAATCGTGTTTAAGAAAATGCACGCATATTGGCATAATCATTTAATCTGAAATCTTTAGTTTATTTCCTATATTAATATTATAATATACCTATTCCTCCAATAAATAATATGACCCATTCTTTTGCATCATTTCCTCCCTCATCTGCTATGATCATGGTGACTATCTTAGCTGCTGCTTCATAAACCACTTTGTCATATCCATCAAGAAACAAGAATTATTTTAATTTAGGTACAACCTGTGGTGTCAATGCTCGCATGAATTATTTGAATAGTCTCTGATTTTCTATGATCTCATTACATAATTATACCAGATATTATTGCATCGATGGTGGTCAATATATATGTCATCAAAGGTTTATCATGTGCTACATTTTCGATAATGTCCAATAGCATCTAAAATACGCCAACAGAGTCAGTCTCTAATAATTTCTTTTGGTCTTATAACTAATGATTCAAATGAATCAATACTTTTGCTTGTGTAAATTTAATGAACATGTCTTTTGTGTCTTTCTTTATAGATTTTCCATGTTGATCCAATTGTTTGAAGCAGTCTTCGCAGTCCTTCAGCACTTTGTTTAGTAGTTATTCTTATTGATAAAATGTTATGGACTGACAGAAGTATTTCCTGTTTCTAAACATATATTAATTATAAGATTTATATTGATTTTATATTTGATTTTATTTATATATTTTATAGACTACTCCAAATTGATTTATTATCAAGTTCTCTTATTCTTAAAAAGAGAGTCAATGAGATATCACTTATAAAACGAAAGAGATTCAATATAACTGAATTAAAATAGATAAATATTTCATAACTAACAGAAATATATCATTTTATAAATCAAACCAAAGTGATTTGCACTAATAACGATTTGTTGTCACTTATTTGTACATTTATTTATGTTGAATCATTAATAAACTAAATTATAAATTACAAAACATACCTATATGCATTGGTAAATTGGAGTGTTGATATAATTATATCTTTCTTCGTCATCTTTCGGTAACATCTATTTCATATAGAACACTTTTGCCCCTTATTAAAGACTCTTTATTTCTTCTCCTACCATATTTTCTATTTGTTTCACTATATATTGTAATGGTTCAGTCAATCTCTTAACCTCGAGTTTCAACTTAGTCCAGATTGATATGTCTAATCCATTTTTCAATTAAAACTGAAAACATTAATAAAAGTATAATTACCTTCTCAACTTCTCCTGGTTCACTCTACATCATAAATGGAATGGCAAGATTTAAGAATGTATTTCTATACTAAGATGAATTCAAGAGAATCTTAATCAATTCCAAAGTCTGTAGAGCAGCAATGCATGAAGTCGTTGTGGCCATGGCTGGAATAATCTAGAGAAAGATGATAAATAAATAATATTACTCTTCCTGCTTTTAATTTGGTCCACATCCAATCAACTTATTAGATACCATAATTAATTGCTCTACCATTAGTGGCAGCAGTAATGAAGGATACATGATGATTAGTGTCGTCATCTTTTTCGAATTGTTAAGGCTATGGCAATTTTGGTTTAACCTTACTCAATAATTTTTTTGCTTCTTTAATAAGCTGATCATAATTTTTGACTTCCACTTCCATCTACTATTGTTAATTATTTTTATCTTATTTTTCGACTATCTCTTGAATCTTATTCTTTTTTATGTCCATCTTAGGAATCTAAAAGTTCTACAGTAAGAGATTCAAATCATATTAATTGGGAATTGCAATATTGTAGATTTATGCTGTTAATAGAGCAAAGTCCTCAACAAATTTGAAGGCAGATTCTCCATAGAATTCTATGGGCTTAGGAGGTCTCTTGGGAGGAGCCCAGAATAATTTGCCTTCTTTGGTTACAGAATTAATGGGGTAGGCATTCATTAAGGCCATGATGTCATTGTTGAAGAGCTTTTGGAATTTCAGCCTTCCCATTTATACACATTACTAAAATGTCGTAGGGTACTTCTTTAACACTTTGATGGCCAAGTCAACAGTTTATTATTATGGAGAGGGATCCTACATTAATTGCACCAAAGCTTATGGTTTTCTAAAGAAATACTATTCGAATTTATCACGTGCCCATTCTAAACAGTGGATATTGGATTCTGGGAACATTCTCAAAGTGCAATAGGGTATGTCATTGTTTTATTCAGGATCCTATTTGCTTGCATAGCTTTCTGTAACTTCAGGGATAATTGATTATACATGTCCTTTTGGTCCCAAGGTACCACTTTCAATTAAAGACACTTTATTTTCAACGCATTTAGAATCAATAAACAATCTAGCCTATACATTATCCAAAGCATTTGTCACACACTTCATTTATGTGTAGAAGCCATTATGATAGATGTCTTGAGTCTCTTGACATACCTTATCTAATCTTGCCACTACATTGATATCTGGATTCATCTATTTGACAACGGCAGCTGCAGTCAAACTTTTAGGTTTTCTAATGTGTTTTTCTCTAAAGAGGAATTAACGACTTAGATTTGAATTTTCAATGATGTCTGGATCAGTGACATATATTTTTCCAGATTTACTAACACCTAACATTGCATAATTCTTAAGCAATTCACACCCAATGGCTCCAGCTCCAACTACAAATACGTCAGCATTGAATATTTTTTGTGTGTTTCCAACGGTGTTGACCAAATCATTATATCTTGTATTTTAATACGATTTGAATCCGAACTTTTACATACATTCTTGGTATTTATTCAAATTGATTTCAAGATTGTTTGATGGACCAATGTGGGCAAAATTAAGTTCAGTCAATTTAAATGGAAGCACATCTTCAAATGATTACACATAGACTTAATGGATTGGAGTATACTTTTTATTTATGGCTTTCAACACTTCTTAGGCTGCTATTCCACCAATTAAAGCACATAAAGGTTGGAATTGTGTATTGATTGACAATAATGTCAACAATGATATTAACTCTTCTTGATATTTATAAAGCACATCTTCTTGGTATTTAAGATTGAGGATTTCTCTTAGATTTTATTGTCTCATTGAGAGTATGAACATTTTAATTTTTTCAACATCCCAATTGTCAGTCAATTAATCATTTGTAGTAGTATTCAAACAGAAATGAATGATGTCCCTTTTAATTTTATCAATTCCATCAAAAGTTCCAACATTATCGCAATAATGATCGAATGAGCCAATTACCTTCTAGATTCTATCAAACAATAAGTTAATCGGTTATTTCTATTGATAAGCTATACCATGACTAACATAATTAGTAAATACTCTATTAGTCACTAATTCAAATGATTATCTTTTAACATTCTTTATTTAGAATACTTAATTGTAACTCTCTCCAATGCCTTATTCTTATTTGACTTCTTAAATAAGTACTAAGTCATTTTCAGTTAGATTATGATTTTGATTCTTAAACAAAGTTACAACATTATTAGATATATTCTCAATATTGACTTCTGACGATTATTCACCATCTTTGTCAACCACTGTGAATTCATTACCAAAATCAGTTATAATTCTGACAAAAATGTTCCGTGTTTGTGCCAAGACAACTGCAAGTTTATTTTAATTGGATGCTATGCTTGCAATAGATGGATCCTAAGTGACAAACACTTAGATCTCATCTAAATTCAATTCGTCTAGACTGTTTTAGAGAACATCAATTTTGACATATGGATTCAGATGCTTCAATTTATTTAAAACACCAAAATCTCTTCTTTTATTCACATCCTATTCTGTCAAATAGAAATTACTGCCCAAATCACTCATCTGGACTAGACAAGGATCGAATAGGATCACTCTCTTTACACCTGATAACACTATGTTCTTTGCTATTTCAATGCCTAGGCCATTCAAAGTATGGATGAAAATAGTGGATTCACTTTGTTTCTTGACTGCATCCAGACCCACAACTCCTATATATCTACTCATCAAATTCTGTAGATTCTGATCATTTGAATCAAACTGTCTTTATTGCACATTGTTATTATAACTAATGTCAATATCATTGATATTCAAACCCTAAGGCATTATCTTTTTATTGGTTAATTATTGTTATTGTTATTACTTATAGTCTAGATTAAAGGTGATTTCCTTCTTCTTCTCATTTGAAATGGTCTGGAAATCCTTTCCAATATTGAATTTCAATTTCTCCAATTCCACCATCAATTCATCATATACCTTAATTAGATCTTGTTTGTATTGTTATGGTTATTGAGTGTAAATACATTGATTCTAAGTTTGATTGTAAGTGGCTGGCAAATTCGCTTATTCTACCCATAATTCAATCTCCTTCATTATCAATTCCTTACGCAAATAGAAACTCTTCTTTATTACTGCTTCGAATCCTCTGGGTGGATTCTGTAATTATTCTACCATAGCATATCTAATATTCTAAATCTTAATGAAATTGCAATATCCTCTATTGGCCTATTCACCATTAGGAGTTCCCATCTAAGATTCCCATCCTGGTTCATTAAACATAACATATTCACTCATCACCATAGATTGAACTGAAACCAATATCTATAAAATTGTAGAGAAATTAGCAATCCAATTATCACCCCATGTACCAAGTAAACTCAAACACACCTTTCCACAATTATATAAATTGGGATTAAATCTTACTTTGCCATGTCCGGTTGTTGCCAACTTCATCTTTGGAGGTCTTTAGGGATAATCATCTCCAAAAAACATGTCATACAAGAATGCTCCATGGGCATAAGGTGTACCACTGGCACCAAAAATGATGGTCCTCATACAATCCATTCTATCGGTATCATATCTTAAGAAGATGGAATTGGTTGCTTCAAGGGGTAGATTCTCTTCGATTGTTGATATTTCAGAGACTAGTTTCTACATCTTATTTTGTGATGGATTGTTCGTTTATTAATAGTACTCTTTCATATGGGACAGATAATCTGCATCAGTCTTTATCTCACACTTTCCAACTGCCAATCTTTTCATAAAGGGTCGATAAAATTGATGCATATTAATCTTAACATCTACATTATTCTATTAATCTTAGGATAGGTATTTTATAGTTATGAGTCTGGTAGCATACAAACAGTTTTCCACATATTGATACAAGGTTAAAAATTTATTTAGTTCTTCTATTTTAGAATTGAATGTCTTAATAAACATTATTACTTATTGATTGAAGGACTCCATCTATCTGAACAAACAGGTATTTTCTTTTGATATGAATAATTGCAATGTTAGTTCTCTTTAAGCTAAACATTCTATTATCTATAAGATCTGACTAAATGTCTTTGAACCCTCCAATGTTGTTATGTTGACATTCTACAAATATTTAATCAATAAGTCGATTATTTTAGATTATTGGATAGAATCAAGTAGTCCTGCATTTATAAATTAAAGATCCAACAATTGGATTATACAATTTAAGAGATTCTCCAAATTTATGTCTTGATCATTAAATTTCTTCTCCAATTAATTCACAATTGGTTCTTATTACTATTTTTATTGCTATAAATTGAATTGCTATTACTCGTTAATATATTTGAATCCCTTGTATTCAATGTCTCCATATCCAATACCCTTAGGTTTTCCTTAATTAGCAGCCTGCTTCTTCATTAAGAGCATCTTGGGCTATTCAAATTTCACCTATGCCTAAGGTTGAGCATTTTGACTCATCAAATTCAATTGTTATTCTGTCTTACTCACTATCTTCTCCAAGAGTTTATGCTCCAATATCACAACTATCTTAAGGTATGGTTTCTCCTACAACAACTGAATCAATTGTGAATAAACCAATGAATTGATCTTCTGGTAGATCTCCTTACACTCTTGCTTCTTATTCAAATAAGCCAATGCCAATAATTGCTGCAAGAACCCTTCACTTTAAACAATCTATTCTTGAAATCCCTCAATCTAACACAAAATGCCCAATTCGTTTACCAAATCTTTATATTACTTCTCTGCCTACACTTAATCTAAATACTTCTTAACATAATCCAATATCATGAATATACCACCTATCTTCTATTCAAAATAAGTCAACAATGGCTTCTATTATTTACTTTTAATCTATATTTATTAAGTAACTGGCTTAATCACATTGATATCATTGATAGAATACTCTTTCAATTACTCGATTTCTAGATTCTCATCCAACAACTAACTCAATTCCTTGCCACTTACTGTTTGAGGAATAAATTGAATGTTTTGCATTCTCAATTAAGAATAGTAATAATTCATATGTTTCTCGTACTTCTTTTTCAATGATTGAACATCATCTTCAAATAAATTATCTTTATTAACATCAAAAGTGTGTATTGCTATCTATAACAAATAACACTCTAAGCCCTACAAAGCAGCATTAATTTGATCCATTAAGAGGGTCTTCTCTTGCAAATTTTTAAATGGAAATCCAAACTTACTCTACTGAAAATCAGAGAAGTTAATACAAGCAATGGGCTCATTATGATGACTGATCTGAACCATGTGTTGTTAAATATCTAATAAGACATGAGGCTTCCCATCCAATGCATTCACATGCCAGAAATGTTCATCTTACACCATCATTACATAAAAGGAAGAATCGTTTGATCTCGCCTATACATAATTTTATCTCCTTCCATCTTAAATTAAATGATTCACAAAACATACAAGCTTGACATTCTCTTAACCTACCATCATTTCAAAAATGAATAATACATTAGTTCTATTGTCTAATACTTTAGTCAGAATTTAAGAATCAAAATGAGGATTGAATGCACTAAACGAATGCAGATGAATCCAAGAACCTGCAATTTGTCTCTGATTTTCATTGATGATAATATTTTATTGAAGAGGAATTGGCTATTTTTACTAAACCACATTATGGGGTTCAAACTAAAATTTCTCCCATTAAACATCCTCTTAAAATAGATCTTACATTGCTTAATCATTAAACTCTAGTTCCATCTAGACCTATTCATTTTTGATTTTATTCGGAATTTATTACTTCTGGATATTTTTGTTGAGATTGTCTTATACTAATTAAGTTATTTTATCGCATTGATTTCTAGTTAGCAATTCAGTAACTAATGTCGAGGATCCTGCCATAGTTTTGGTTTGATTTGAGAGGAACTTCTCAGTTTCAGCCTTACTCTCAGACACACTCAATTTGGGATGAAAACAAACAGGTACCAATTTGCCTTGTTCACTATTCAAAATAGGCAAGAGAACTTTGTATATGAGATCTAATTTCTGGTGTTTCAAAAAAAAAGTGAAATCTTCATGGAGAATGTCAATGAATTATTGATCCACTTGATCAGAACTCATAATTCTCACAATCAAAGTTACTATTTGCTCAATTATTAAAGGTTCTTTGGACCAGAGAGGTGGATTGTTGCATCCAAAGATTGGCTAGCATAATCTCAGATTATTATAGAGGGTCTTGTGTAAGTTGAGTTTGAAAAAGGATATCAATATTTCTTGATTGGTTGTAAATGCCAAGAAAAATTGCAGTAAGTTCTGGATTTCTCTATTTATATCCGTTTAAGAATTCTTCTGCTCCAAAAGACTATTAGATATGGATTGATATGGTTACCTCTCAAGGATAGATCTCAGTATATCGACTGTTTCTTTAAACAACTGAAAATTTAATTATGGATCTGAGAAATATGACAATGCCAACAAATCTAGTTTGTAGGGTCTTTCGAAATTTGTTTCAAAGAGTTCGTTATTGACTTTATTGACTACACAGTTTTGCAATGATTGCAATTGAGTTCTACTTATAAATGGCTTGGGGGGATTCATTGAAAATATTAAATATCTTGGCAAATACATTCTAATTTGAGAGAAGAAATCATTTTCCTTATTTAAGATTTCTTCACTTAAAATAATCTTCAACAAGAGAAGAATCAATGATTGATCACTATTAATTAGGAATCCAAAAGGATATCCTGTCTTAAAATCTTTTAAACCATATTATTATGCTAATTAATATGAAAACTCTGAATGCTATCCCACTTCATGAATTTAGAAGAACATCTTCAATAACTTAGTTAATTGATTAATGTACTCAGGGGCACCTATTAAATATTGGATGTGATTATGTACCTTGCATGTCTAAATCCGTCAATTGAAATAAATTGGCAAGGTAATTATACAGCTTGGCCTCTCGATTGAAAAACATGGAAACATCTTGCAACATAGCTTCTTCTAATTGAGAGGTGCTTGCTTCTTACAACAGAAACACAAATCCTGAATCTTCAATATTATTGGGATCGACTATTTAAATAAACTATTGCCCATTTTAAGCTTTGATAATCATTAAAAGTACAATTTTATTGTTCTCTGCCAAATTGCCCTAATTATTCGAAATCGATTTGTTAGCCACACTCTTCCATATCAATATAGTTAAAATAATCATCTTACGACATTTTTCTATTGTAATAAAAATTATTAAATTATAAGATTTCTCATTTAAAGTCTATTTACAAAATTTGATCAGAATTTCGATGTCAAATTTAAAGGGATAATTTTATTAAATAAGTCTCTTTTCTAAAAATCCTTATATGTGAATACAAGTGATTTTCACCTTCATATAGATTAAAGATTGTTTAAATTATTAATCAATAAACATTACAAGCAAATTGTTCCAATTATGTTGTCTTACGCAAACAATTATGTACAAATAATAAAATGAATATCACAACCAAATTCAAACCATAAAATTATGTAAATTATTCTTAAACTTATCCATATTTATTATAATTCTTAACATATAACTACGATTATTAATATAAACCGCGAGATTATAATTATATTTTTAATAATCAAATTATAATCACATGAATCTCTTAATTATCGAATGAAGGTCTGATGATTTGGCACTTTTTAGAATAAATTCAATAAGTCAATATTTTTGGAATTGAATTGTAATTTAAATTAATAAATATATTTCGTTAATATAAATTATGTCAAAGACTTGGTTAGAAAAGCCCAAAAGACCACTCGATATCAATTTTGATATCAAAACCATACGGAATCAAGTCAAAGATAAATTAATACCACCTTTTCAATACAATAATAACTCTGGATCCAAGCAATTTAATTCGTTTAGGTAAAACGATAATCTATGGCAGAAAAGAAAACTTGCCTACTGTTCCTTCATTCGACAATTTATAGGCTAGAATAAGAGATTTCTCATACACAAGACTTTAATCAACCTCCTCTCTACAATCTAAAATCACATCAACCAAAAAGTATGACGAGTAGTCTCCTAAGAAAACAATAAGGTATTAGATTAATGAGTCTTAGTTCAATGGGATTTAGAAACAATATATAAAGTTATAGACAACAATCAACAATTTACTAACCTGTTGAATTAAACTACAGAACTTAATAAAAAAGATCATTGGTTGAGAACATATAATTGAATGAGATTGTATCTTTAAGAAATAAGATCGAATCATCTTACTCAAATAGAAATTCACTCCAAGCAAAGTAAGCATTTAATTAATATATAGTTATGTTAGTGAACTTGTGAAATTAGCTTAAGCAATTACAAATGCTTTGAAATGAGACTTATTTAGTTTTAGATTATGACACATGTATAAATAAATTTATATTTAATAAAATATTAATATTAAAGTGATAATATGAGTATAGTAGTTCTGAGATTAAACAAAAGAGAATGAAAATAGTACTAAGAACCTTAATTAATATTAGATGCAATATATGAAGAATGAACAATCTAATTACATCCTTAATTAAGTATAAAGCAAGTTAAAATTAAATTAAGAGTATGATAGTATAAAATTAATGATTTAAAAATCAAAAACATCAAATTAATATTCAAAATATACTAAGATTCATTTTGATATTTATTATATTCCTGCGCCATGCTGTCTCTTTTATTATATTTGTTGTTCCATTTGTTATTGATGTTGCTGTCCTAAGCATTGTTGTAATTTAAGATTATTACAATTTTTTTGTTCTTAATTTCTTAATTAAATACAATTAAATACTTTAAATTTTGATCCTTATATTATACTTTTTATCCCTAATATTAAGGAGTCTAAGGATGATTTTTAATTTTTTAAGCTGAGGCAATTTGAGGTTTAGCCAAAGGAGGCTTCCTTTTCAAAAGAGCTTCTTACGAGGAGGGAATGACCGATTTTTTTCTTAATTGTTATTCCTATTATTATTGTTATTCTAAATTAATTCGAGGTTAAGAAGTTACAGGATTTTTAGTCTCAATATTAAGTCCTTATTTAGAGTGTAATTTTTTGCTCTTATTTTCACGTTTGGGGTTTGGTTAATTATCATTTAATTTTCCTAACTTCTACTCAATTTCTACTAACAATGATCCGCTATTCTTAACCACCTTTGGATCTTTGAGGATTTAATCACAATTTGGTCTATTCTTTGGATTTACTTGTAAGAGCATTCTTAAAATTTGTTATAGATCCTCACTATATTTGGATGGAATCGGATCATATTTACCAATTTATACCTTTTTGTATAAGGACTCTATATCTCTGGCTCTAAAGGGATGTTGAAATGCTGTCAGTTCATAGATTATACAACCAATTAACCAAATGTCACAAGGACGTGAGTTTTGTTCACCTTTCCACATTTCAGGAGCAACATCATCTATTATAAAATTGATATCAATACATGGAGGTCCAATCTCTGCATTTCCCTAACGAGTTACTTTCCCAATATTGAAATCTCCTATTTTATAAATGTTTCCTTTAGGAGTCTTGACTACAAACACATTTTCTAAATTAAGATCTCGATGCAAGATGCCATTATCATGTAGTATTTTCACTCCTAAAATGATCTATATTAATATTGTCCAAATTTCACTCTCTTAAATCCCTCCCTCTTATTTACCTTACTTCAATATCTGTAATAAGTCTCCGCCTGATACAAACTCCATGATCACATTAAGAATTCTATTATCTTGATCTATAAAAGCATCCTTAAATTCTACTATATTAACCAAGAGAAGCTAATGTTCTAATATTATTCAAAGCATCTTCTCTCTCTTTAAGACTATGTTAATGTATTTTCACTCTCCTTATAGCATAGTATTACCCATCACATTTTCTTTAAACCTAGGGATAATCAAATCTCAATCATACTTAGTAAACAGATGAATAGTATCCTTCTCCCAATTTTTTAACTAAATTGAAATCCGATAATGCACTTTTAGAAAATTATTATTACATTTAATTCTAATTAAAATTATAAGAAAATCAAATAAAATCAAATTCCTAATTTTCTTAGTTCTCCCAAGGACTAAATTCTATGGTAGGCTCACTATTTTTCATTCTTATTCTTTAAGACAATCTCCTCGCTTTTATCTAGATTTACTTTGTAACTCCCATCTACTTCTATAATATACTTGGCATTTGAATTGTGTTTTCCTTATTGACAAGAATCGATCTATAGGGCAAAGGTGGTTTCAAAACCTAATTAATTTACGGAAAGTGTTCCTCCTCGACTTCTGTCTTGGTTTCAAGTGACTTCTTTCTTAATCTATTCTTTTCTAATTTCATGTTTATAATTCTCAATGCATTTTCACGCATTCTACCCAATTGCAGTCCTTTTTAATAATCTTGCTTTATTTCGTTGAGTATATTTATTTATTTCAATCTTTCAACTTTCACTGATGTTGATCTCTGTTCTCTATTATATCTACATACAACATAGGAAAAATTTTATCGTTGATTTTATTGACAGTTTATCATTTAATTAATAAAAAAGTAAATAATCATATAAATCACATAATTACAACTAGAAGCACATTCAATCATCATGTAAACAAGTTTTAGAATTCCAAATTTTAAGTTTGCCTTCAAAAAATTGTATTTATTACCAGAAATAAATCAATAAACATTTTAATGTGTTATTAATTAAATTTAAATATATTTAAACTATTTTAACTTTTACTGTTTAATTTATATCTTCTTAATCTTTAATTATATTTTAATTATCTCATGAATATCAGTTACTTGCTTAATATTTATCTTATTCTAAGAAATTTATGTGATAGTCATCAAATCTTAATCCAAAAATTATCATCTTCATAACTATTGATTTTGGTTTAAGGAATGAAATGTATTTTGAATTTCAATTCTATTGAAATTTCAAAATTAAAAGATTTAATATGATCTTAGGGCAAATCTAGTTTTCGGTATAATTTTGATAAAAAATTGATTTGAATTGAAATATTTAATATTTTGAAATAATTCTATGAGCCTCACTTCATCTATTGAAATTAATGAATGCAGAATAGAATTATAAAATAAAAGTTTAATATTACTCTTTCTTAGTTATGATTAAAAACTAAAAGAATAAAAAATATGAATTGGTTTTGAATAGAGAATATGGTAGATATGGGTATAATAATTCATATAATAATTCTTTTGTTTATCCATAATATGAGTTTAAAATAGAGATATCATTAAATTTCATAATCTGGTGCGATTACAATTCCGTTTGTGAATTTGTACAAATTATTTAGCCAAAAGTGATAAATAGATTTAGTCCATTTAATCTCAATAGAAAAATACATAGGAAATTTATATAAAAAAATGTATTAAATTTTTTATTAATGAACAATAGTGAATATATAGTAAAATTTGTCACAAGCTTGCCATAAGATTATCAGATTAGCAACAATGAAATAGCTGTTCAAGGAGATATGAATTAAAGTGATCTCAGTTCTCTTATTTAATAATTACTGTCAGCTGAGAACCCTGATTAAGAATACAATTAATTATTCGATTTCTTTATTAATGGAATCAGTTTGAGATCAACTCTACATGAATTCATTACATCGAATGAAATTGCAACTGAAAAAACATTGTAAATAGAATATCTATTTGCTGTCCCAGAACCTAAACTTAAGCAAACTATAAATATGAATGACTGGATCATAGCAATAGGTAGATTAAATAATCACATCATAACATGTTTATCTAATGGAGATATTGTGGTTTGTACTGAAAAGGGTAAAATTCTGAAAACATACAAAACTAAAATGGCAAAGAGTTTTACTATTTTTGAAAACATCATAATTTCAACCCATTGGGATTGCACTGTCAGAGTATAAAGACTTACAGACAATTTGGAGTTGATTGCATAAGGTTCTTTACCATCATATGGAGAATGCAGTTGTATCAATAAGAAGAACACTAATGAATTTTGTGTTGGTACAGCCAATGGAGAACTCATTTTCTTTGATCTTAGTGCAGTGTAAAAGTAGGTGATTGAAATGGTTTAGAACTTTAAAGTGCATTAATAACAGATAACTTGTTGTTAATGGATTAGAAATAGCACTATTCTGACTGGGTCATATGATCACTCCATTTGCCTATTTAATAAGAGAACAGAATCAATAAACAAATAATTGTTTGCTAAGGATTCAGCTATCATAGGATTATGCTACTTAGAAAATAATTAATAAATCGTATCAGTTCATGAAGATGGATATATTAAATTGTGGGATAGTTTGAGTGAATAATTGATTAAAATATATAAGAGCTCATTGTCTTAGTTGACTAGCATTGCTGCTAATGCTATTGGATAAATCATAGTGGTAATACTTTGTATAAAATCAATTTTAGAGTTCTATGGATGGAAATACTTACTTGTGGGATCTAAGAGGAGAGGTACCATTGTATTAATTGAATGGAGAAGGAAAAGCAATGGCTTGTACATGGATAGATAATAAAATACTGTTTGGAGGATCGACTAATAAGTTATATGTGTATAATTGTTGATAGGAATTATTATTTATTATTTTGTTATAATCTTATCATTGATTTAATATATTAATTAATTTATTAATGAAGGCAGAGGTACCCAAGAGCAAGTTGTCAAAGGAGGAGTATGAGAAATTCAAGAGAGCAGAGAGAAGAAAGAACAACAAGAGCAAAAAGAAATGCACTAACGAAAAGTAAGAAATTATAGAGGAGGTAGTCAAAGCCGAAGAGGAGCAGGTTGTTTATGATGAGGAGACCTTTCAAGAGATAGAAGTATATATCAGATTGAATAGTGTAGATCGACGCTCTAATTACGGGAAAACATTATGACAATTTTAAACAGGTTTTTGATAATTTCAATCAACATTCCGAAAGATTGATGATGAAGACTTATGAGAAGGTTTATGAGAATGAAAAAGAGAAGGAAAAGGAATAGGAAGAATAGTAGGCAGCAGAATAACAGTAATAATAATAACAATAATAAATTCAATAATAAATTAATGAACCAAATCAGACAATTCAAAATTATTTATAATAGGGTAAAAAGAAAGAAGCTAAATTATCAAAGAAATAAAGAAAATAATTAAGATGGTTGAAAGTAGCTGAATTGAAGTAGAAAGTAAGGAGACCAGATCTAGTTGAGTTTTGGGATATCACATCTCCAGATCCCATGTTTCTAATTTAATTGAAGAGTGTACGTAATTCAGTGACTGTTCCTAGACATTGGTCATAAAAGAGAAAATATTTGTAAAACAAAAGAGGAATATTGAAAGAGCCATTTCAATTACCAGATTACATAGAGAAGACAGGAATTGCTAAGTTAAGAGATCCATTTGTAGATAGAGATGGAGGTAAGATGGTTAGATAGAAATTGAGAGAAAGAATGAATCCAAAACAAGGCAAATTAGATATCGATTATTAAATATTACATGATGCTTTCTTCAAGTACTAAACAAAACCTTCAATGACAAAACATGGTGAAATCTATTTTGAAGGTAAAGAAGAGGAAATGAGAGCCAAGAACTTTTGTCCTGGAAAGATGAGTGCTGAATTAAGAAGTGCATTAGGCTGTACTGATTTCTAAGCACCTCCTTGGTTACCAAATATGTAAAGATATGGACCACCCCCAAGTTACCCTCATATGAGGTTTATAGGAATGGCTAGTATCTTTGCTGAGCCTTCTTCATATCATACTTCAGTTAAATAAGTGATTGAGGACTCATGCAAAAAGGCAGACTAGCCAGGACTTTATGCCACATTCAAATATTATGATGAGGAGGATCTAAATGAATTATCCTAAAAAACAGGATTGTAGGCTGATGCTCCTGTGGATAAATCGTTGTGGGGCAAGATAGAAGAAGTGGAGGATGAAGCTGAAGTAGAATAGGAAGAAGAGGAAGAACCTGAAGCTCAATAGAGATAAGAATAACAATTCGATTAATCATATCAATTTGGAGATTCAGAGACTCGTCTTCCTGGTAGATCTATCAGTGGACTCTAGACTCCGGATGTAGATCTTAGAAGAAGTAATCTATTTAATTATAATTGTAGATTTGCAGAATGATCCAAGACCTTTGTATTAATAATTGGAATAGGTGTAGATTGATCCTAGTAGTGGAAACTAAATTTTTATGACAGGACATACATATGTGTTGCCAAAATAATGATTATTATTATTAAAATAAATAATTCAGATTGGGATTAATGTTTTAAAATAAGTACTATATGTTGGAATATCTAATAGAACTGATTATGACAGAGGTGTCAACACATTCTCTCCAGAAGGTCGTCTGTTTTAGGTGGAGTATGCCTTACAAGCAATTAAATTGGGTGCAAGTGCATTGGCTATTAAAGTGAATGAGGGAGTAGTTTTGGCAGGAGAGAGAAAATTAAACTCAACACTCCTAGAACCTAAGAGCATAGAAAAAGTCTATGAGATTGATACTCATCTGGCATGCACTGCCTCTGGATTCATTCCAGATGCAAGAACATTGGTTGAACATGCAAGAGTGGAATCCCAAAATCACAAATTCAATTATGGTGAACCCATCAACGTGAGAGCACTCACCTAGATAGTTTGTGATCTTGCCCTTGATTTTGGAGAAAGTGATTCCAAAAACAAAACAAAAATGTCCAGACCATATGGAGTAGCTTTATTGATTGCGGGAGTTTCCGATTAAGGACCTTAAATTTATTAGACAGGTAATGTACTTTATCGACTCAAAAGATCCCACTGGAACTATGATTGAATATCAAGCCAAAGGAATAGGTGCTGCTGATGAAGGCATCCAAAGTATTTTGAAGGAACAATACAAATAGGTAATATTACAAAACTATGCAAGGACTTAACTTTAGAATAAGCTGAAAGATTAGCAATTTTGTGTTTGAAGAATGTCATGGAAGAAAAAGTATATGTATTACTATTCATCTTAGATTAATAATAAAAATGTAGAATTGGCTGTTATTACCACTGCAGAAAAAAGATTTACATAGAGAACTCCAGAATAGATTTAAAGTTTAATTGATAAAGTATGAAATACATAAGTATATTAAAATCAAAAGTCAATCTATGTTTTGGTCTTTTAAAACTTAAAAAAGTGATTGAAAGATTGAAAATGATGATCATCTTCTATTTTATAAGGCACTGAATAATCGATATCATCTTCAAAAACTATCTTCTTAGATGGAAAATATTTCTTAAATTGCTGTTTGCTACTAGATGCGAATTTAACAGCAGTCTGTATCACTTCCTCATTTTTTATGCATTATTACTGTCCAGGAAATCCTCTTCTCATAATTATCAAAAATACCCAAATCTAGCCTTGTACAACAATAAAAATTATTGAGTTGATGATAACTGATCTTCCAAAATTATTTTCAAGACTCTTAAATCCTACTTGTCATCCCAAATTTCAAATTCTTCTTCTATACTTAAATTGCTTTCAGATGTGTAGATTGATAACAGAGAAGGCATTTATTGATAATTCAGACTAGTCATTGTATTAAAATTGCATTCAATTTAACTGAGGCCATCATCCAGACTATATTCATCAGCTAGAATACATAAAGGATGAACAATACCTAAAAATACTGCCAAATCTTCTTAGGATCGTGATTATTTTCTTTAGAGTTTTTTGGTTGTCTAATTTTCTTAGATTTTGAGACTAGTGTTTGTGATTTCTTATTCAGGATGACTTTATCGTTTTTTAAAAGTGAATCCTTAAGTTTAATTCATTTAAATTAATTAATTCGAAGTTATATAAACAATTATAATGGTACTTATAATGATATAAGATATAGCATGATTTATTTAATATTATCAAAATGATGTGCATATATCATGAGGATTGATTTAATTATAGGGGCTTAATAATTAATATTAAAATATTTAATTAATTAAATGATTTTATCTATGAGGTATATTATAAATCATTAATTCAATGAGTTCTTTTGATTATTTAAAATATCATTCATCAACTTAACTTTAAAAGAATTTGGAATCTATGCTAAAGGGAGATGAGGAGTAATGATGTCCAGACATGTTTCTATAGATGCATTGGATTCTTTCTCTCTTTATTTCAACCAATTTTCGTATTATTCATTTTTGTGTCTTTTCATTTGGACTTATTCGCCATGTAGAACTCGTTGCATTCAGTCTTCATTCTATACTCAATTGCCTTTTGATGAAATCGATTATTTTATATACCCAAATTGTTCATAAGTTTAATTATTAATGAGTTTAAATATCATCCGAATTATACTCAATTCCTGGAAGTTTCAAAATTAATTAAATATACTATAAAAATTCCAGAATACCATTATGGATAAGACCAAACGGTGAAATGGAGCAAATAGTGGGAGGAGGAGAGAGAAAAGCCGATAAGCAGCCTAGAGGGAGGGGCGACATGCTTGTCAAACTGAAATAAGACAAAATTAGTAACATTTTTTATCAATATTATAAAAAAATTAAAATAAAAGTTATATCATCTATCATTTTGGACCCTCTCTACAACCAACTTACATGAGCCATCTCCAAAAGGTGATTGCAGGCCTTCTCAATATTATTTAAGTGTGGAGTTACAGCGTCCAATATATCTTACTAAGTCAGAAACTCGAAAAGTCCATCTGATCCAATCAACAAGGCTCTATCCATAATTTCCATAGTAAAATTGAAAATCTCTGGCTTGTCAATCACTCCAACTTTCTTGGCCACCTAATCCCCCATTGATCGAGTCATGGCCAATCCAGGAACATTCGCGTTGTTCCAAACTCTTAGGGGGCCGTATGGTAAGCCTTTTGGATCTCTATAAGAATCGATCCTGCCCCCATAATTTATTATTCTTTAGGCCTCATCTGCACATTAGGGCTTGTGATCTCTGGATAAATATTTGAGCAGCCATCTATTGGTGCGAGTCAACATGATTGCTCTGGAATCCCCCAAATTCGAACAATAAATCTGGGTTTATTTAGACCATATACTTTGTTGTGCAGCATAAAGAGTCCTATGACTGTAGATCCAGAGTACTTCAAGTCGATTCCTGATTGATTCAAGGCTTGAGACACATGAGTGAAGATAGTTGATATGGCAATATAAGGACTAATAAGAATTATCTATATACTTATTTTCTAATAATGATGAAAATTGGGTAATGTAGAGTTGAAATTATTGCTTAAGGAAATTGGACACATGATGTCCATTGGCTCCATGTCCATCAAAGACTAAGAAATAATGCATATATGTTTTGTTGGAGATGTTGGACTGTAGGATATATGAGTCTTGATTTTATTTGGTGGGATTTCCTATCATCATCCCTTGTTTGGTTCTAACAGACATTCTAAGAGTGTATTGAAATCTATCATCTAATCCGTATTTATCAATCAAAGTCTGCTCTTCTTAATATTTTGGAGGTGAATTTTAAGTAACATTTACTTGCTTCTACTTTTTTCTTTAGTGACTCTGTCTAGAAGTAGTTTGCTCATATAAACTAAAGGCTGGTTTTCTTATTTAAAGTGAATATTGATGTTGCTACTAATGATGAATAGGTAAATTTAATGGTTCTAGTTTTTATTTAATAATATTTAATTATTTCATTATAGTATAGATATGTTAAACTTGATTTATTATTTTACAAATTTTTGTTATTTAGGTGTCAACATTGAGATATATATTTGTAATTCTTTATTTAACTAAGCTGATCCTGTAGTAATTGAAGTTTCTTATCGAGGGATGAATAGCATGATCGAAGGGGAAATAGGAGTGTGTATCTATAGCATATGAAATTTGATTGTAGTTAGAAGTGTCAGAAGCGTTGTTGGACTGCAAAATGAAAGAATAGTTATATACAATATTTAATTATAATGAGACTGTTAATTATTTTAAATTGCAATGAAGCATAGAGCAGCCGCTAATAGTTTAAATTAAAAGGAGAATGAGAAATGTGTAGGGAATCAATATGCTCTCAAGTACCGAGCACCCTTGCAATAGGAATTACTGATGAACTTAAAGAATTAGCAACTGAGGAATCTCGATGCAATTAGTCAAATTCTACAATCGAAATTTTGTAAAGTAGAGAAGCGAGACAATGTTGAATACTTCAAATTTGATTTCAAACAACAGAACATTTGTGATAGAGTAAAGTTCCTAATGAATCAACCTGATGATGATACCAATAAAACTGAGCAATTCAAGGCACAATATAAGGTGGGCAGTCGCATTGGTTAAGGCGCATATGCTTCAGTGAGAGTTGCAATCCAAATAGAGACTGACACCAAGGTGGCCATTAAAATATATGAAAAAACCAAGATCAAAGATTTATAGAGAAGGAAAGGAGTGAGAAGGGAAATTGAGATTTTAGAGAAGCTGGATCACCCGAATATAGTGAAGATCCTTGACACGGTGGAATCAAATAATCATGTGAATATAATATTGGAATACGTTAGCGGTAGTTCATTACACCATTTGGTTAGGAAGCAGCCGGTATAAATTAATTCTAATCTCTAGGAACGAAGGCTGGAAGAAGACATTGCCAAAGGAATATTCAAATAAATTCTAGATGCGATTCAATATTGTCACTCCAAGAACATTGCTCATAGAGACATTAAATTAGAAAATATCCTGTTAGAAGGACTCACTCCTAAATTGATAGATTTCGGATTTTCAACATCTTTTCCTATTGATAAGAAAGTCAAAATGTTTTGTGGCACTCCAAGTTACATGGCACCAGAAATAGTTACAAGATAAGAATACAGAGGAGACAAATCAGATGTCTGGGCATTAGGAGTTGTGCTATTCTCTATGCTCTAGGGAGTGTTTCCATTCAAAGGAGACACTGATTAAGAATTGTATACCAGAATCCAATCAGGAGAGTTTATCATCATCCATGATATATCCAAAGAAGCTATTGCATTATTATATGGGATGTTGACTATTGATCCAGATGAAAGACCGACTGTTGTTGAATTACTCAACTATCCTTGGTTTAAAAAATATCAATAAAACTTGGAAACAGAAGAACTCAAAAAGAAACATAAATTGCCTGATGATTTAATAGAAGATCTCAATACAATCACCAAAAATATGTCTTACATCACACCTACTAGTTAAATTAAACAACAATTCTATTTTGATTTCTCTCATCTTAAAAACAATTCCAAATAAAATAATACTAAAGTATTTATATTCCTTATTTAGGCTGTCATACCCAAACCCAATTATTTTACTACTACTAATGCCCAAACTAAACAAAGAGAACCTTAGTTTTTTAAAGTTGAGAGAATACTCACAAAAAATGAACGACACACTACCACTCACTCCAAAGAAAGATAACCTACACTATCTAAAGAAAGACAATCATCTTATAGTTTTGAGTCTAGCAGAGGTTTATCTTAGAAAAAGAATCCTCACCAATTAACTGTTCATCCTAGTTTCATTCCAAGTGAAAAAAGTTTCAATTCTGTCAAAAGTCCATCAATGGGTATGACAGAAAAACGTTCTTTCAATTTTTTTTATAATTGATTAAATTTCTAAGGTGTTTTACAAATTATTACATATATAATTCTAAATTCCTTCTTTACTTAAGTCCAAGAAAAGTAAATTTAAATGGGATTGTAGTTCAGAAACCTCAACTATAATAAAGATTTAAGAAAGAGACTTGACAATTGAAAAAAGAAGAGAAAATGCTGGTTATGAAATTAGATACTATCTTTCTTGATTTAAGTTAAAAATCTGCTCAATTGATGAGTGTATCATAATCAGGGATTCAATCATAAGTATTTAAAATGATTATAACAAGTCTTTGTAGTTAAGAAAATTATAGAAATTGATAATAGAGTCTTACTATAATCTTAATCATTCCATACAATTATTATAAAAGATTGCAATAGACTCTGATATTTATCAAGATCTTCTAAATAATGTTATTATTCAAATACTCAATAATAAATAGTCAGAAAATAAAGAAGAAAACAGAATGGTATCAAGAATATGATAATTGAAGTAATGATAGTTATTCATCTTTTTGATCTGAAATTTATGCTTTATTAGTATTAATAAATTGATAATTTATTTACTTAATATAATTAATTAATTTACTATTTTGTAAATTTCCATCAATTAATTTATATGTTAAGGAATGAATTCATTTGGTAAAAAATTTAATTGTTATGTTTTAATTTTTTTTGTAAAGAGAGAAATAATATTGGTGATATTTTCTATTATAAACTTTTAAAGCCCAAATATATTATGTTTTTTCTTTTGGTATTAATATAGATTGATTATTGATTAAAGCCTTTATTTACTAATATTCATTTGAGATGGTAACTTTTATCTTAATTTCTATTTAATTCTTTCTTTCAGGCGCTAAACTAAAGGCAAAAAATTTGTGATTCGTTTAAGCCACCCTTATCGATATCTAGAGTTTTCCATAAATTAAATTTTTAATTAATTACAATATTTATACCGATCAATTCTGGAGCTCAAAGTCCTGTATTAATTTAGAATTACATGACCCATTAAAACCTTCTTTTTTGACTTATTTTAGCTGATTAGACAATACTTAGTCTTTTATGCTCAAGTTTCTAAGCAAAAAGATGATTATAAAATTAAAAAGAATTTAATTCTGCGTTTCAAAAAAAACAAAATATATAAAAACCAATGTTCTTCGAATGCCTATAAGCATCTTCGATTATAAATATAAATATATTATTCTCAAGCATTCCAAATGGTGGGATAATTGTAGGAATCAAAGTGGTTATTCACTTAAATTAAATCAGGGGACTAAAATTTAAAGTATATTTTACATAAAATGAATCGTTTTTATAGGACTGTTGGTAATTAAAAGGAGTGTAGGATATAATCTAATGTTATTATTAATTATCAAAGTTCTTAGATTATTCTTCATAGATATAGGAATTCTAAAAATTTGCATCAAATTTTATGGATGGATGATCAAGCATTTTGATTGCAGAGAGGAAAATGGGTTTTTTGTTTTAAATCTTCTCCAGTATTTTTTATTATTGAAACTCACTATAAACATTTTTGATTTTTTAGTTTGTTTGTTTAGTTTTTTCTTATAATTTCTTCTCTTTTCTTGTAATTTTATTTTATAGATATATTTAACTATAATTAGTATTTATTAAGTATACTTTTCTTTCTCCAAATATAATGAAATTTATTTAACTTTTTCTCTGGTATCTTCATTTATATTTTCTCCTTGTTGTATTGACTTATTTTCCCTGATCAAACTTTTAAAAAGCTCTTTCATATCATCTTTAATATCGATTTGCTTCCGATCAATCTCATTATCATGGCAAAATATACTTGAGATCAATAGGGGTTGTAACTTAGCTGTAATTATTGAACCTTAAGTAGCTCTAAATATACTTACTTTCATTTGTTTTATATGAGGCTTTTAATAATCGCCTAAACACCTTTTTAACATGTGCATAAAATTAATTCTTGATATCTTGATCTGTTCGATGATTGAGTTCTTTAGCGATGCACGTCTTAATTAATCATTACTTATACCCATTTATTTCCGTGTATTTTTATGAGATCAAAGAGCTTATCAAGTTCAAATTGTGACAACACACTTTTATTGTAAGAGATGTCAAGATAATTAAAAAATCTCTCTCTACAGGCTTTCGTATTTCTGTCATAGCCTTATTTTCGAAGAGCCTGTGAAATCATTTTCCAGCCAAGCCTCTCATTTTAGAATTTACTTACAAAATACTTTAAGAGTTTATCTTCCTACCATACAAATATTTGTTACGTCTTCGGTCCATAAAATTCTTTTTTTGCACTGAGGAAGAGTTAAGTCTAACATATTAATAATAATCAAAGAAAGGATTTCAATAATTTAGGTTTTATGTTGTTTTCATTTATTTAAAGAGATCTCAGATTTAAAATGTATATAGAATTAGTCAAAATTAATTTCCATTTACCTGACGTTGGTGTATCGACTATCCCTCCATCATTTCATGGATGGAACAAACCAGAGGGTGAAACAGTTATTTGTATTATTTATAAATTAACATTTGAAAAGAGGAAAAATAATTGTAACAAATACCCAATAGTATTATTAGAGTAAAAATATCAAAATGCGATTTCAGTTTGATATTTCAAATAATTTTATGATCATCAAAGTTTGACAAATATAGTGATTACAATTTTTTTAATTTTTTATTAATCAGGGTTAATTTATTTACTCTAATTTATTTGAATTCATGGTAACTTTTTTTTATTATATACCTAGGTGAAAAAATAGAAGGCTGTAAAAAATTAGTTAAGTAGGCTAAATTTTTAAAAAATAGAGAATAAGAAAACTACTCACTAATTTCACAAGCCTAAGTATCGCATTATCATTAAAAAGATGTAATAATAGTTTTTATATAATATTTTACCCAATTTACCCAAAATTAAAGTAATAAGAAATCATTGTGATTACTTATTGGATTTAAAAAAGAATTATTGAATCACCAAAAATATATTTATGTGTACAACATTTCAAGTGGTTGTTTCCAAATTTAAAGAGCAAATTAGAAAAAATCAGTTTTATTTTCAAATTATTCTTTTATATGATTTATATAATTTATAATTGGTGAGTTTATTTTATTCAAAGAACTTTATATCTCGTTTACATAAGATAAATGGAGTTTAAAATATGTCTCTTCTGATTGAACAGGAAGAGGAGCTTTCCGATTTGCCAAGTCACCATAAGAAGATTACATAAAATAATTAATTTTTGAAAATAACTGATTATTTAATTTTTTCAAATAATAAAGTATAAATCTATATAGAATATTATTGGATAAGCATTAGGATGATTATTTCATTTTCATTCTTATTTATATATATAATCATAAAGTTCTATAAAAAATTCAAGAATGCATATTCATAAAAATCAGAAATTAACAATTGCTTAATTACTTTTAACTTTATACATATACATGAAATTCTAATTGAGCGATTTCTATAAATACCCACTAAATGTATATATTCTTTATCAAAAATGAAAAAAAAGAATGTATTTTTCTATAATTTTGATTAATATGAGATTTTAAGTTATTCATTAAAACAACAAAATATAAATTTATATAAATGGATAATATCGAAATTATATAAATTAAGATTATGGTTTATTGTTACATTACAGAATAATATAATTACAAATTGTTAGGATTTGTTGAATATTAATTATTTGTTTGTACAAAATTCCACTTTCCATTTAAATAATAAGATGCAAAATCAATAATATTCAGATAAAAGTTACTATTCAAAATAAAAAAAATATTACAGGTGTATGAATAAATCTGATTTTGGAATAGTTACTTCGTCATCCCCATAAAAATTTAACAGACTAAATTAATCACAATAATTAATCCCTCAGGAATACCTAACTAATGGTATTTAGGGTTTTAATACTTCTCCAAGAAAGGAAAAATATAAAAAATAAATTAAAAATACTCACTTTCTAAAAGTAAATATTCTCCTTAATGTCTAATCGTAGGATAACGAAAGAAAAAAGACTGTATGGTGCAACATATATTAGTATTAAATGAATGCAACTGAATTAGAAATGTCTAAAAAAGGAAGTAAAAAATTTAAGAAACAAAGGAATTTGTAGAATTTGTATGATGGAAGAGGAAACCTCAAGATTTATCTATCCTTGTAAATGTAAGGGGTCAACTTAATTCGTACACGAAGAATGCTTTAAAAGTTGGATTTTAACAAAAAATAATGTTGAAAAAGTTCTTAAAAAGGATGTAACCATGATTATATTTTAATGAAAAGATTAGCTGCGAAGTTTGTTCTTAGAAAATTAATATGAAGCTAATAATTTAGGATAAAGTTTAATTTTCTCTTTTTAAAGATATTCCAAAGCACTAAAAGGTTTGCTGGTTAATCATATTCTTTTTGATTTTATTGTAAATAACCGGAGCTTCGATATTAGCAGTTTTAGTTGGTTTTCAAAATTTTGGCATTGTAGCTGTAATAACATTATTAGCAGGATTTTCTGTTGCTTTATTTTTTTATTTAATTGCTTAGGTTATCAATAGCCTTTCTGTAGAAATTATAGATCAATGGATTTTCTCGAATTATAGAGGGGATAAAGGTCCTATCATGGTTGATATGTAATCATAATATCTACAGTCTTAATAAAAATTACACTGCAGTCCAAAAAGTCCGAAACAGAGGAGAAAATCATGTGTACCTCAATTTGGAGGACTTTAAGTTATTCAATTTGAATAATACCCCTCTGAAATTTGATTATTCATCTAATTTGTATTGTCATTTTGATAATAAAATTCAGTTTTAAATTCTATATTGTTTAAGTAATCATATTATATTATGTTTTTCATAATAATTGAGTCTATGAATGTATTTTTTGATGATTTTAATCATTTAAGATCTCAATATAAGTAATAAATAAATCGAAAATATTTTGAGAATCAAGAATGAAAATTTTCCATTGTCAAAATGTAAGCCTTTGTATATTATTTTAGAATCTAAATTATATAGGGGAAGAATAAATAATAATATATAATAAATGCTTGATTGATGCTCTAGTACTTTCAATAATAAAATAATTATGAACACCAAATTTAACTTACTTGCTTTTTTTATTTTCTTAATCTTGATTTAATTAAACATTCTAAATATTCTATAATATATTTATTATCTTGAACTGAGAATTTCAGATAGAATTATTTATTGAAATATTTTCTAGCTTGGTTATAATTATACTAAAGTTATATTCAAATTGACTAGATTTTCTCCCAAGTTAATATTTGAGCATAATAATACTAACTTTCAGAATTATAATTTATAAATTCAAAGATAAAAAGAGAAATTTTAATAACATAGAATTTTTTGAAATTAGATTCTATTAATTATTAATTAAAATTGTTACATTATGAGTCCTCTTCTTTAATCTAATTAAATAATTTAAGTAATTTTCAATAAATATTTCAATATATTACAACTAAGGTTTAAGGTAAATAAACAAAATTAAAAATTAGTTTAGAAATATATGGATTTAATGCTTGAAGGATGGAGTTGGAGTGTTATTATAATTTTATTTGAATATTATTTTAAAGAGACTTGTATTTATAAAGGAATTTTATTACCAAACGAACTGTGAATTGCTGTTAAATTAATTAAATAGGAAAGTATTATTTATAAAAACATTATTAAAGCTATTAAGGAAGAATTAGTTAAAATCTATTAAATGCTTTTAATCGTAATTAAAATTCTGATTTCTAATTTTAGATTTAACATTAAAAGCTAACAACTCCTTATAGTAAATTGGGTTATTAGAATTAATTTTTACTTCAATTTTTAGCAATATTCTTTATCATAATATTGTTATTTCCTTATTTAGAAGTTAAATGTATTTTTATAATCTAATATCGAAGTCATTATTAAAAAACACAAATGATTAATCAATAAGCAAGCTACTCGCTAGTTGTACTAATATGATATTAAGATGATGATTTGATTTTAAATATATATTCACTATGAACTAGCTGAATTATATATCAATTCAAATAAATAGTCCAAGCTAATAACCATTTGATTATCTTAACTTAATTAGTTAAAATAGTCAAAAATAATATTAATATATGTTAATAACCAGCAAAAACATGAAATTTGTTTACAAAAAACAAATATATTTTATATTACTAAAATTACATCATATAACAGCATATCCTCCTTCGCTTGAAAGCCCTCTAAACTTTTTGATCATTCCAAAAACTTTGATAACAGTGAAATTAATTCCATCTTTAACCAAATGTGGAAAGTCTCTCCAAAAATGAGAATGTGGTAATGCATCTACTCCGCTCAGCTAGTATTGTTTTTTATTGTAAGCTATTCCACCTCCAAAGTAGAGACCAGCTCCTAGAATGAAATATAAAAGCAATGTTTAACTGCCACCACCTTTTATAAGTGTAATAATTACTAGGAGATGATCCAGATCGACAACCAGCTGAGTGCTAAATACCCAACCTAATATTGCATTTACTAGAATCAATAACTCTAAAATTAGGTTCATCTTTTCCACATGTGACTTCGAAAGTAACTGATCTTGGACTCATTTACATTTGTTCATTATCTGCTATTATTTTTTGTAATCCTCCATCATCTTTAACATCAAAACACATATCGCCTTATAATTCATTTTAAACAATAACCTTATTTGTAAGTGACCGAAATTCCTAATTCAGGATAAACTGGATTAACATAGCCAAATTCTTGAGTTTCTTTCAATCCCAAAACCTTAAATATTATGAATAATAAATACATCACAGTTTTCTGTTACTTTGCCCATTACTTCTAGTGCTTCGAATGCAGCCACTTCTCTACCCTAACATCTGACTGCTCCAGTGCAAAAATTAAATTCATAAACCATGTTAAACATTCCCATACCTTTACACTTTTATTTAGAATAATTTACTTGTGTCAGTGTCAGGCACTTGATAGTTATTGATGTTATGAAGTTTTGAGATGTCGTATGTGTATCCGTAGGAGTCGTGCCATAAACAATTTTTATCTGTAGCATAAGACGTGGTGATTAATAGCAATAATGAAAACATTTTTGTAATATTAATTATTTCATCTAAAATAACTACGGAAATTTAATTCATCAGCTATTTCCATACTTTGATTCTTTTTGAATGAAGGTTCGAAATTCTCTTTACCAGACTTATTGGGTCCATTTTTTTCATGAGAACATATGTGCTTGAATGGTTCTTTAAATTATTGAATACTACTTTGCATATCAGTATATGTTGGACTACTTTGATTTAATTGAGATTAAAAGTAGCTTTGAAAGGATTCAATTTCACTTTTACTAGTTTCTTCAGTCTTCTTATTCTCATTAACATCCCAGAACTAAACATTAATGGCTGAAGTGTCAAATAAGTATTTGGGATATTTGATAGGTCTCGAAGATTTTAATTTTAGGGTGTCCACATTTTCTCCTTTTAGTTTCATTTCTTTTCTTAATTTAACTTTGTATATGTTCTGCATCATTATTTAAATATTATCTAACATTTAATCTAAGGTTACGTTATTCAACAACATCATCTCATCTACGTCGATCATATTATGATAACACAATGCTATTTTTTATAGTTTATTTCTTTCATCCTAGAGATCTTTGCTGAGTTATTTATATTTTCTAGTTTTAGCCTTTTGATTAGCGTATCTCTTTTTAGTTTGGATGATGACTTCTTATTGCTTCTATTTGATTTCATTCAATTGAGATTCAAGTGTTTATTTTTCTGATTTCAAGATGATAAATTCTTCTTCTAAATTTTAATATTTCTTGATCATTCCAAAGGAATCAATGATATCTTATTTGACTTCAATGTCTCTGCTTCCTTTTTCTGGAACCCATAAGACTCCGACTCCATGATAGTGTAAATGAGTCCATTAATATGGTACATCCTTGTTAATCATTGCTTAAATATGATCAGAAGTATCAAACTAGGATTTGAATATTTTTCTTTGTTCTTCAAGTTTTTCTATTATTTTGAGCATCATTTCTTGCTGTTACTTATCATCAACTCTTGCTTTTTGTAATTCTTCAATTTTTGACTCATAATCTTTTATCACCCTATTCAAACTTTCATCATTATCAAAGCCTACTATATTCTTTGAGACATTGTTTTCTATTTTCTTTGCATTTGTCCCAAACCTTAAAGTAGACACTGTTTATTCAAATTAACTATAACAAGGATTAATACACAGTATAATGGCAGTTCTGGAGTTACCTCCTAAAGATGATCTCAATATCTTTGTTAAAGGCGAATTTCTATATGGGATATGTTGATCACTAAATATTGTAAAGTTTTTACTTTCTTCCTTAAGCCCTGAGAGATATTACTTAAGTTAAAAAGAACAGACTTTTATTGATGTGTTTGGATTCATTTTATCTATCTTTATATTGAGTACCACTCCCTCCTGCAGAAGTTCCTCTTTTTTTAAGCATTGAATCGTGAATGTTAATTTTTTCTGAACCTGCCAAATCAACAAAATTAAGAATAGATTCAGTTATCACTGAGTTTGGTCCAATTGTATTAGGGACACACCTAACATACAGTCTGAATATTGTATGAGATCTACTACTGCAATGATTCATGACAGTGGATGCGTAATGTCTGTTACTCTCTCCAAACTGAAGGATATCCATGATTTCATCTATTGTAGTCACAACTTCTTCAATAGCTCCTTTAATCACAAATTCTCTATTGAAATCCTCATTTATTAACAAAGTTTCACTCAATCTCTCCTGAGTAGACAGCAGATCATAAACTTAATCTGTGTATATTTCGACATAGCTGCATCTTAAGAAAAACTGTCTGTCTTATTATTTCTCAATTTCTCCGAAAAGATCTTTGAGTGCTTACTTCAAAATTCCCTCTTCTTAATCATACCCCATCATTGTGTAAGTCTTACCACTTCCTGTTTGACCATACATAAACACTGTCCCATTTATACCTTACAATGATGATAATGTGATTCTTTGGATCTATTACTAGTAAATGAATTTGGTGGTGTGTTTGGGATCAAAACATTAATCTATTAATATTCGATTGATTATATTACTGAAGGTAAACTCCACTCTTTGTCCTGGCACAAATTTACGCATTCGAACTAAATCATTAAATCTATCATTGGAAATAGTGATGGTGTCTTGATTATTAACAGACCAAATTTCGAGGTCATTGTTGTCTTTCTCTTAACCATTTGATGGCCTAATTCTAACTACAACCTGGATGTTCTCCATTAATTTAAATTAAATATTGTTTTAACAGATTATTTTACAATTAAAATGTAGAAATTGTATTGATATTAATATTGCTGATAATTCATTAATCAAAAGACCTCTTCTCTAACTTAAAGGAATTCTGAGGCAGCACTCAACTTTTGAGTAAGAACTTCTTATAATCTTTCAGACGACTTCCATTATGTATTATTCTCTTTCAAAGGTTTAAGCTTCATATTATGATTCTTATTCGGCAGCCCATCTCTCTTGGATAGCCAATGAGTCTTCAGCATCCTCAAGGAATAACTACATTTAATTGATGATCATACAGTTTAATCTTCCAAGTCTTCAACAGCTTCTTAGATGGTGACTTTGAATTGAACAATTGAGTTTTCTAAGAAGGCCTTTCTCTCAACTAATCTCTTGTGTTCCTCTTATAAGTGACCACTTTGGACTTCCCAGTTGGCAGCTTATCTCTCTTCTGTTGCAAGGAGGGAGGCTCTGCTGGCAACCAATTATTATCTGATTTAAGCCAAGAGTTCTAAGATTTTGATGATGCTCTTGTTATCAACCTTGGAGGCCAATTATGTCAAGGCGTTGATGAGTGGCTATTGATATAATTATTTAATACTTTGAAGAGAGCGTGTTTGCTTTCCATTAATTTAGCTTAGACTTTCTCGAATCTGCTCTTGAGTTGAGCAAATGCAACACCTGCTTACAAATGTTAAACGATCTTTGAGGCTTCATCAATGGCATCGATTTAGTCGACGTGTTCTGCATCCTTTCTAACCCAAGTATCGTGTTATGATTGTCTTGTGGCTGATTCGTCGGCGAAGCTCTTTTCGTTATTGGCAATATCAGATGTGACTACTCTGACTTCAACTTCAGCTTCTCCCAATGCCTCAGTGGTGGAGTCTCTCAAGTTTGAAAGAGCAACGATTTAAGTTTAGTGATAAGCGATTTCTTATTCTAAGTCAGCAATGATCTAACATTTTAATATATTAACTATACCTTCTCGAAGGCAACTGTGTCACTTTCGTGAACTTTGTCAGCTTTCTTTTAATCTCCATTGAGTTATGAGGCAATGTTGTTTAAAAGGATTTAGATTTCTCCGACTGGTCCTCCTGTTGCCAATTAGAGTTGGAGGACTGACAATACAGAATTACCAAATGAATCTTTGTTGATTTATGCCAACACTTCCTTTGGACTTTCACTCTTTGCTACTCTAGCAGTTGCCACTGCCAAGATAAGTGTCAATACAGGAATGATTCTAGCCATATTAAAATTATTAATGAATTATTATCACATCCAAGCAGAAGACTAAAAAAACCCGTTTTTTAATTATTTGTTTATATTCATTTTAATTCCATTATAAACAACACTTCCCATCTATTTCTAAATACTATCACTTCCACACACACATCAATGAACCCCTACCTTCCTGCAGGAATTACCAGACACTAATCAATCTCAAGCAAACTGTTCTACTTTCGAATATAATTCAATTTATTAAAAATAGATCACACAGCACAAAAGAACTGTAAATTTTCACTAGGAACCTAGTTTGATCCTTTGTTCTCTTGTATTTTTTTAGTTTATGCTTAGCTATCTTAAAGATATATAAATTTAGAATATATTAATATCTTTCAAAATGGAAAACTATTTATAGGTATTAATACTTCTAAAAATATCCTCAATTCAAACAACAGAGTTTGCAATCTTTTTCATATGGTTAACAAAGTCGTATATGTGTGGCCTTTTAGACTTAGATTAAAAGTTTTTAGAAGAATGAAGAAAATATTATTAATCAGAATCTATGATGAAGATAATTGTATAAGATTGTTAATTATTAATTTGATAATCTAAATTGAAATGATGTTATTATAGATATGTAAAATTAAGATTTATTTAAAATAGTATTTATTCTTCAATTACTTTTTGGCTATCATTAAAAGTAGTTTACATTGTTTTTTCGACTGATCTGGGTGCTGAATATTAGAATTCTAAATGAGAAATAAAAATAAGGATGAAATACCATTTCATAAAGAGAGTTTTAAGATAAACTAATATATTTATTATTTTTATATCAAATGCGTCAATCATCCTAGAAAAACACCTTTTTAAAAACTATCCCTTTTACTTCTATTTTTATGGAGGCTTTAAAGTAATCCTCAATGTGGGTATCATCGAATGCCATTGATGGGAATAGTCAATTTTAAGGTATCTATGAATAAATTATTCAGGCAGGTTACTTTTAAAAGTTGATATTCAATGGGAATCGGTGTAGCTGAATCTACATCCTGAAAAACTATATAGGAAAGGTGTAGGATCTGAAGATTATACCTCCTATTGTTAATTACAAGCATGTTTTCTCAAAAAGTTTACTCATTTTGATCCCACAATGCCGAATTATAGATACGGAATTAGACTGTAATTTGGATAATAACTAACTCATTTATTATGCGAAAATGCAGATATCTTCAAAAAATGGTTTCAGTTTTTAAGAAGATTCTGCATAATGGATAAATTCGCTAGGAAATATAAAGTCTTAGGTAAAATAAAGTACAGTGATCCAGTATTTGGACAATGCCTATTCTCTTGTGTCAGAGTGCAAGATGCAGAGTATCATGTTGTGAAGGTAATCGAGAAGGATGCAATTACAGCAGCATAAAAGCAAAATTTATATAGGGAATTAAGCAACTTAAGAAAATTGAGTCATACATAAATATGTTATATAGTTGAAGTGTTTGAAGATGAATAGAATGTGTATGTGTTGTATGAGTACTACTTGGGTATTGATTTGAGATCATACATCAAGGAATCCCAAATATATCAGATGGCAGAGTAGTCTACATAAGGATTGGAGGAAAAACTGGTTGCTGATATTATCTATGGGATTTTGTAAGCCATTCAACATATGCATTAAAAAGGAGTTTTTCATCGGGATATAAAAATGGAAAACTTGTTCATCCCTGAGAAGAAACGTTTGCCATTTGTTGTCTTAGGCAACTTTTGTTATTCTGAAACAACCGATCAACCTTAATATAAGAAGTGTGGTACTCCTGGGTTTGTTGCACCTGAGATATTTAGATCCAAAAATTACACTAGCAAAGTGGATTTATTTTCATTGGGTGTCATCTTTTATCTTCTAATTTATGGAAAATTACCATTTGAAGGCAAAGATTAAGAAGAAATACTGAGATCAAATGAGAAATGTGATATAGATTTAAAAATAGAGTATTAACTTAATTGATTAAATTAGAAAAAAAATATGCAAGAAAATTTCAAATTCTGGCATGGATTTGTTAAAGGGATTATTGAATAAAGAACCAATTAAAAGACTGTCAGCTGCTTAGGCACTCAATCATCATTGGTTCATCAAAATGGGAACTAGACATTAAAGAAACCAATATCTTTAGGTATAAAGAGGGAAGTCTTTGTCTACTATTATTGAAAATTCAGTAGATATTACTTAAAGGTAAACTTGAATTGCTATTTTAGTTATTATTAATCAAATTCTTAATTGCACTAATCTACAAAAGAAGAGGACAGATTAGACAGAGTAGAAAAGGAGTTTATTTAAGATAGTCTATATGATAAATTGCTCCATTTTAATAGTGTTTAGTATTAGCCTTCTAAAATTCGTCACAATTAGTAATAATCGTGATAATTTTATTTATTTTTATTATATTTTATATGTGAAAAAAAAAGAAATTTAGTAATATCTGGAATGTTAAAAGAATGGTCAAAAAATCAGCAATTAGTGTACCAGATTGAATTTTATAATTCAATAATCAAGTTATTAATTTATATAAAGAAAAGAAGAGAAGATAAGAACAAATTATAAAAACAAAAACAACGAAATATTCAATTATTCAATGTTTCCAAATAATTTGAATAATTGATATTTATTAAATGTAGAGAATGTTAGACGTTTACTGATCTAGTTAAAATGTTTTATATACTAATAGTTGAGTATTATTGTATCAAAAGAATAAAAACAATAATTTTGAAATCTGGAAAAATATTACTTTACTTACTTCACAAAGTAATTTGAAGAATTTGATTTTGTGTTGGCTAATTACTTGTCATTCATCCCCTTAATATTATTCTTCATATATTTTATGCACAAGAAATAAATCTGGGATATTAGAATGGCATATCCTAATAATTTTACTAAGACTTTAAGTTATATTGAAGTAATCAATATATTTATAGATATAGTTTGATGAAGTATAAGATAAAGCAAAATCAAATTGGAAGCTCTTCATTTTAAAGGAAAGAAAAATGTTGACACTAGAAGATTAACATATTTCTGAAATTTTATCAAATTAACCATATTCTGGAATAAATCTGTTGATGTGTAAAGATGTTTTAATAGAAGAAAATTAGAATTATATTAATTGGAATTATTTGTTTATTTAGTAGTAATAGTTTAGTTTCAAATAACAACTTATTATGTTGAACGTATTATCTAACTTTTTAACTTTCAAAAAAGGCAAAATTATTTGTATATAATGTAATTCTTTTTGAAGAAGTTAAAGTGTTCAAAACTAAGGAGATATGGGTTAAAATCAATTTGATTGATATGAATCGTTTTCTTTTCTAAAAGATTACAACAACAGATTTTCAGTAGATTAAAAGAATTCATAAATTAAAATACAATAATAATAACATTTTTCTTCTATTGTATATCTTAAATTTATTAATGTAAACACTTCATTCTTAACTATTATTCTTCGAGAAAGTAAGATAAATCTCTCATTATCTTTCGCTGTAAGTAATCGAGACTGAATAACTCAGTAATGATCTAATTTTTTATAATTCTTGTTTATTAAGAAATTTAAAAAACTCTTTTGCTACTATTTTTTGTTCAAAAAAACAGTTTTAAAATGTAGAGATTAATAATTATTTAATACAAGTGTTGCATATAATCATATTTTCATTGAAGAGATCTTCTTCCATATTTATTGTTTAGTTAACCAATTAAATTGGCTCTAACGGATTTAGGTATATGGTTTAGTTTAAAACTATCTTGATCAGAGGCTTTAGTGTAGGATAAGTCCAAATCCATTTACAGAGACTAAGCCTTTTATTCAATGAAATTGTCTATTTGTTGATTTTTGATTTATGAACTACTGTTTACACTCTGTCTTTTTTTCTTGTTTTCACAAGCCTTTTGATGAAATCGATTCTTCTCTAAACTGAAAATGTTCATCAATTAATAATAATAATGGTTAGATAAATGAAAGCAATAATCGCTATAAAAATCTTGCAAATTTCATGTTAATATCTAAATCAAGAAGTGAAGAAAAGATGAATCAAATAAAATAATAAATAATATCCTAGGATAAGCTATATGAAGTAACGATTCATAAAATTCAAGTTTTAATTAGCCTCATAAATTATTTTGTGTTAATTTTTATTAAATAATAGATACTAAAAAACTATCTAATTAAATAATCAAAATATTAAGATAATTTATGTTTAAAATACCTTGTATTTATCAAAATAAATAAAATAAGAACTTTAAAAAACATATTTATGTAATAAAACTGTTTCTTAATGAAATACTTAAGATAATATTTTTAATAAAAATAGGCATATTAATTCTATAAATAAAATTATATTGTTTAAATATAAAAATGAACAACTACTTATACGGATAGAACTGTAAGTATCTTTATTCAAACTAATAGAGTAGGGAATAATTTAACAACTATTCTTAAAGATTGAGTAGTTAATGACAGAAATATAAAAATTGACAAACTTCTCCAATCAATTAATAATGAATCTATAGACTCAAGAAAACTAATACGATTCACTTAAGAGATAGTTTAATGACTTATGGGGTTAATTAAGTGAGTAGTAAAAGATCTGGTTTAATTTAAAGAATAATACTCAGCACTATACTCTATCGAATGAAGCCTTTGTGATGACTAATTTAATAACCGATATAAAGAGTAGAGTATCAGAGATACAACAGTTCAATTCTTATTAATACGATCAATAAAAATACAAAAAATGCTAGTTATGCTCAGAGAAAGATTACACAATAAGCAATTTGAAAGCATAAATACAGAAATAGGTACAGATTTTAATAAAATTGCAATGTAAGGAATATCAAATATATTTAACTAGAAGACAGTGAAACTCCACAACCTTAAATTTAAAATAATATTGCTAATTATTCTAATCAGAGAATCCATACTGATGGATTTACAAGGTAAAGGTTTGCCTCTCAAAAGCTGTTCTAAAGTAATTTAAGTACAACAACTGCTCCTGGCTCAAGGTTTTGATAATTTATATATTTCTGTGATAAATTTTATAAATAAATAAAAATCGATAAAAGGTAATTCAATTTTTTTTCATGCTGGACTAAGGAGATCTGTCTTTAGTTACATTGAAAGATTGATCCTTCTTTTAGGGTTTCTTTAGCAAATCATGTTTTTCTTTATTGGACATTAAGGTCATCAACTGAGAAGTTAATTGTATAAATTCTGACTTAATGAGAGAATGCTTTCCTTAATCCATTTCTTAGAGTAATGGAGTAAGGGCTTAAAGAACTTGAGGATCTAAATTTGAGATGTCAATTCTTAAAGAATCAATCTCACCATCTTAATCGGAGTCCAGGAGATCAAATATATTTGCCAGCTTGTTGTAAATAGCTTATTGAATAATCTTATCGGATTGATGACTGGCTTTGACTTGGGATTAGAAAAGAGCTTGATCCACACTCGATGATAAGAGTTAAGCCTTTTTATCTGCCAAAGTCTTAGCTTGATTGTAAAGGGAATCAAATAAATTATCTGGACGAGATTCAGGAGGTCTACCAGTCTTAGGTCGAAAGCACTCGTCGACTGGTTATTGTTTGTCTTTAATGGAAGTTAAGTATTTTTATTGTCTATCTTAGAAGGATTATCCAGAAACAAGTTGTTCTGACAATTAATCAATTTTCGGATGGAATGTATGGGTTTCAGTGAAATGTTCCTCTCCTTTCTGATTCAACTTCACTTGTCTAATGGTATTCACTTGGTAGAGTTGTTCATAATGAGGGATTTAGATTTAAGAGCCTTTTTTCTTCTCTTCGATAATTGCTTAAGATCTAATTAAATATCATAGTACTGTTTATCGATCTAGGGATGGAAGGAGCATTGTTGTTGTTATTCTTCAACCTTAAGAAACTAGGCCTACTCTTTCTTTTCAGAATAGACTTTGGCTAATTGATTCAGATAAACACATGTAGGTTCTTGAGGTCTATGAACAATTTTGGAGGAGATTGGGTTGATCGATGGTTTATGAGTACATTCAGCCATCTATTATTGTTGTTTCTCCAATAATGCCATTTCAGCTTTTAAAATGAATTCATCCTTTTTGGACATTCCTCTCTGATATAACAATTATCCATAGTTGACATCCGATTCCTAATTGTGGGCAAATTAGTTAGAAATTTGCAGTCGTTCAGAGTCTTGTCTTTGCATTTTCATTTTTTTAATTTAAGCACTTTGATACAATCTATCAAAAACATTTCCATCTCTTTTTCCTTGAGGTGTCTTTGGAGATTGAGCACTCATTTGCTTTACTAAATTTTATTATGGCAGTTATTCAGATGGATTGTCTTACGTGATTTGTCGCTCTTTCAATTTTTACAACTAATCTCATTCATACTTAAATACATATTGAGTCATGTTCTACTTTTCCTTCTGAGCCACTATCATGTTCTACTTGATATTCTCAGCCAGTATAGGGACCAATCGTTGATTCAATTTGTGTTGATTGCAGAAATTCATGGCCAATAATTCAGGTTCATCATCTTCAAATACATCAATCCTTGCTGTGTTTTTGTCATCAATTTACACTGTCATTACAAGTAATTGACCACCCTTTTCTAATATCAAGAAAGATTACTTAATCTTCAACAGAATTTTGGCTCATTGATAATTAATAAACTAAATTAAAATTAATAGTGACATTAATCAACCAAAATTGAATAAATAACATGGTCTGTCAAACAATTAAATTTAAATTCAAATAGAAATAGATATCAAGCATACTAACAAAAAAGAAATTCAAATTAATACTAATTCTATAATTATTATTAAGAATTTAATCTCAAATAACAAAGTCTGATAACATCAAAGTACTAAAAATGTTTACTCACTTAAGTTACAAATTAAAATAATTGATAATTATTTTTTAATATAAAAAAACATAAATAAATTTCCTAAAAATACATATGAAAAAATTCAGGGAATTGAAAAAGACAGGTGATGGAACATTTGGTGAGGTAATAAAAGCAGAGGACACTTTAACTCATGAGTTAGTTGCAATCAAAAAGATGAAATAAAAGTATCACAATTTCGATGAGTGCACCAATTTGAGAGAAGTTAAGGCTTTATTGAAACTCCAAAACCATCCCAACATTGTTAAGCTCAAAGAAAGTATCTCCTATCAATATTTAGTTTTCCTTGATAACGATACCCTTTGTTTAGTGTTTGAATTTGTAGAGAAAAGTATTTACCAAATGTACACCCAATAAAAAGAAATGGTACAATTCATCCACTTATTTTAGGGCAAAACTATTTCCGAGGATCAGATCAAATCTATCATCTACCAAGTTGCCAATGGTCTAAGCTACATGCATAAACATGGATATTTTCATCGAGATCTTAAGCCAGAGAATATGCTACTCACCAACAATGGAGTAGTTAAAATTATTGACCTCGGATGTGCAAGAGAAATCAGATCTAGACCTCCCTATACAGATTACATTGCCACAAGATGGTATCGAGTACAATTTGAATCAAAATTATTAGGCTCCAGAAATTCTTTTGAAGCAAGCCAACTACAACAGTCCTGTTGATATTTTCGCATTGGGTTGTATAATGGCTGAACTGTTTTTGAATAGACCCTTGTTTAAGGGCAATTCAGAATTAGAATAATTCAATAAAATTCTCTCGACACTTGGGTACATTTCTTATTTACACACATAGAACATTTACTCAATAGGAATGGCCAGAAGGAACTAGATTGGTATCCCAAATGGGCCTAGCTCTTGCTTAATTTCAACCATTACAATTATAATAGATGATACCAAATGCGAGCACAGAGGCCATAAATTTGTTAACCTAAATGATTAGATGGGACCCAAATAAGAGGATTACGGCTGCCTAAATGTTGACCCATCCCTTTTTCTATAACATTGAAAAGATAGCTCCCACTTTGATCTTCGAAGAATAAAGCAAATCGAAGGATGACCCAAAACCTTTTGAGTCCAAACACAAGGCCAAATCTTAAAATCAAAGGGATGAAATTCAAACTTAATTTAAGCCCAAACAATAATTTTTATAACAAATCAAAGATGATGATAGCAATGATCTAGATGACATCCTAGATTTCATTACTACAGAAAACAAACCAATGCCATCCAAATTAACCACCTAAAGTGCAAAGACACTCGACTTTAGTGAGTTTGTTCCCACCTAACCCCCAAATAAATAATCCAAAAATCTATAATAGAGTTAATTACAGGAATAAAATAAGAAGGAAAATAATTCTATTTACGATTTTAGTCATCTGCAAAGTTTTAAGCCCAACAAACAACCAAATTTTAATTCTAAATATTGATGATTTGCATTCTTTAATTTTATATATAAATACATCATTATCAAAGTCTCAATCCTTTTTATTATATCCAATAAGAAGTCCAGATAATTTTATAAAAATATTTCAACTAATTAATTTCTATTAAAATATAATTGATCTATCAATAATTTTCACAATTATCTACTAAAGTAGACTAAAATATTAGAAATATAGAGCAATATTAAAGTTATAGGGTTAGTATGATTGAATTAAAACTCACTTATTAAAAAGAATTTAAGTGTTTATCAGAATTTGTTTATTTCTCAATGATTGATATCGAAACCACTTTGAATTAAGAAAGCTATAACGACAATTTCTTAATTCATTTGGAAATAAGTTTAATATTTTTTTTGTCCAAATAACATATTTGCAAAATCAATCATCAAAGAAAGCCAAAGAGGATTCTTTCTTGTAATGTTACTTACTTCAACTTAAGTGAGTTACTAATAAAAGTATATAAGATAATTCTTCAGACTTTAAATACAAGAGCATTTTTAATATACTAAAATAAAAGTAGACCATTTTAATCATAATTCTTTTTATTTGCTGATAAACCAAACATTTTCTAAAAGTAGGCTGTATTATTAGATAAATATTATATTATCTTATATTTTTAGTAATGTTTGTAAGAATAACTAAAACAATATCAGGTTTACTTATGATTTGAAGTTTCTGTTTTAAAATCATTTTTGACGTTTTAATAAAATTAAATATGAAAGAATGCAAGCCTATTTAGGAACATAGAAGGTTCGAAATAAATAAATTAAAAGCTATAAAGCATAATATTCAATATAAATATTAAATAAAAAAAATCATCCGAGGCAGGAGTCGAACCTGCAACCTACAGCTTAGGAGGCTGTCGCGCTACCATTACGCCACACGGACATATTGAGTAATTTATGATTAATTCATTTATAACTTGATTCTTTTTAATAGTATCAGTGAAGAATATTGTATTTATTAATTGAGAACTTTGAATTAATGTCAAATGTGCATACAAGGTTTATTGAATGACCTATTCTATATTTTTTAATATATATAAGTAATTTTTATATACAAATTAATATCGGAAATTAAAGCACTTCATTATTTAGATATTTCTCTGTTTTAGAACACATTATAATATTAAATTCTCCACTTCAAAATATCAAAGGAATAAACAAAAACTATGTTAATTATGAATAGACTTTCCTAATGCAAACTCTGTGCTTTTCGGTTAGAAAACCAAAGATATCAGTCAAAAATATCTTAATTAAAATAAATTAGAAGAAATTTATGCTCTGATAAATTCCTATCTATTTAATTAATATTGTAGGACAGATATCTTTCAGTCATAAGATCTACATCATATATGTTTTGTAAAGGGAACTATTACTTTATTGCTAATCTCCTTGAGAAACAATCAAATAGGACTGAACTTAATCTGCATAATCCATAATTATTCAGATATTTTCTTAATTAAAATTGAAATTATTTCATTACTCTTCACTATTCATTAATTTAAGTTTACTTAATGGGATGGGACAATGAAAACTAAAATTTAAATATTATTTTCAATTTGTATATTTATTTAATTGTCATTTAAAACCTTTTAAATAATGATAGTTATCGAAAGTTTATTATATCATGTTTTAGAAAACATTGTTAAAATCATTTAAAAGGTAAAGTGAACTACAGAATTGTTGGTGGTAAAACTGTATTCTTAATAAAAAGCTAAAAATAGCTATGATTCAATTTAGGATTTGCAAGAGGCTTATTGAAATGAGATGTGAAACTCAGAATTATATTGCATGTTAATTTGTAAAAAAGAGGATTGGTTAAGCAATTGCAGTTTATACTATTTGCACTAGATTATTCTATAAAAAATTATTAGTTTTATCAAATACATTGATATGAGATACAATCATCTTGTTAATGCAATTACGAATTGGTTTATCGTATCCAATACTAAGAATTTATTATATAAATATATTTATTTCCATAGATGATATTGCTAATATGTATCACTTTTTTTATTGTTCTAAGCCTTGTTTAATGCGTGGTACTAATTCCTCTATTTAAATTGATAGATGCATGAATTACCTCTTACTTATCTAGCTTTCTCTCTGATTTATTGCATATTTTTGCTTTTGGCATTTGCTCTAATTTTTTTGAACATAGGAGCGTATTTAAATACATCTGGGATGACTACGAATCTTATTTGGCTTCCTCTCAAATATACTTATTCTAAGGACATGGGTCTACCATCTCTAGTTACCATTTACACTTCATCCAATCTTACATTCATTGTGTCCTAGAATTTAGGATAATTGATTACTTCTGCTTCTGCCATATATCCAGTAAACATTTCACCAGTTTTTAATTCGACTGTGACGATGTGATGAGCTGCTTCATGCATAATTTTGAGTGGTACTCCTAAAGACATTGCTTAATTTTTATATTAATTATATAATTTTAATTGATAGTCACAATAATTGATGGAAACACTGAGATTGTAGGGATGGGATCAAAAAGTGAATCACTCTAAAAATCAACTTAATTTAGTCTTTTTTTTGGGATATTGATTGAAAATAAATATTAAAAAATTAAAGATTTTAATAAATAAAAATGGACAATAAGAAATGTTTATTTGAGAGGTTTGGAGGCGATCAATAAGTGTCTGAACTCATTGATCAATTCTACTACAAAGTCCTCTTTGATAAATTATTAAGAGATAAGTTTCTCAAAGCTGACATGAGTCGTGTGAGATATCAATAGAAGAGATTCTTTTCCTAAATGATGGGTGATAAAAACACTCAATATACAGGCAGGTAACATTCTCGTATCTAAGGATTAGAGATTTGGTTGAAGTTCATAAAGATCTGAACATAACAAATTAGCAGTTTGATAAATTTAAAGTGCATCTCAAAAACATCGCACAGGACATGGAAGTAGGTGGAGCAGATTTGGATGAATTACTAGATCATGTCGAAAAGTATAGAGAAACAGTTGTATTTAATAAGGCAGTGTGATTCTATAATTATACATTCACATACATAATTTCATCTATTTACTTAAACATACGCATCATTAATGAGAAATATGAGAAATCAAAAGGGTAAGCATTAAAAAAAGCATTTAATAATAATAATCAACCTATTATAAATAATTCTTAAACTTAAATTATTATTAATCATCTTTTCTGAAAATTTAAATCCATAGTTCAATCTGATTATTCTCGAAATGATCTAATTGAACATATTTTGATTAATTAAATTTATTCACAATTTATTAATACATAATATATTTAAATAATATATCTACTTTCACTCTTTTTTTTTATCTAAGTTCTCGAATTTAACCCAAGATGAGCCTGATTCAATGCTCTCCAGCTGAGTATATTAATTTTGAATATATATACTTCATCAGAAATCTCTTCCTCTGTGTGACCACTCCTCAATACCGATGTCCAAAAATTTAGCCATTCTTCTTCTGATATTGTTCCACTGTTATCAGTGTCAACAGATTTAAATAATTCTTCAGTATTCAATTTTGCAAAGTTGCTTTTCCTATTCACATTTAAAATTGTCAAGCATACCAATATTTAATGGTTTCTGATTTTTCAATTGATTTAGAACCATCAACATCGAATCTTGCAAATAACTTAAGCACTCTATCTCTCATTTAAGGAGATAACTAAATGTGGATTAAACTTAATTTACTTCCTTTCCCTGAGTAGGACCCATTGTTAATTTTATAAAAATTTAATAATGAGCTAAAAAGACTCCCTTTAATAACCTCTAATTTAAGAGGAGGAGAGTAAAACCATAATTTTGGGGGATCGGTCAGGCACAGAAATGAACATGGAATAAATTGTGAATGATAGTGCTTTTGAATGGGGATCTACGTCGCCTTTGGAAGAGGAGAATTAGGTGAAGGTGATCCCGTTCGTTGCTAATGAGACAATATAATATCGTAGGACCCTTGAAAAGAATAATAGTAAGGAGCTCAATATTTTTAAGAGATGCTTCAAAGGTAAAAAATCCTCGAATCAGGTTACAATGGCTTAAATAATAGACCTAAGATAGAAGGAAATATTTAAGGATTATGCTTATCCAACTCAGAAGAATGGATTCCTTAATGGGATGTCTTCATGTATGGGAAAGCTAAAAGTGCTGGAACCTGATTCTCGGTTCTATTTGTATTGGTAGGTACTAAACAGCATCTTTGTGGTTTTATTCTTCTTCCAGATTCCATTTATGCTTGCCTACCAACCCCTCATAGATGAGAAGAAGGCTTCGCGTTATCAATTCTACGAGGAATTTTCCTTGTACGTAGGAATCACAATCTTTATGTTGGACATTCTATTGTCTTTCAATATAGCCTTCTACAAGAAGGGATAGTTGATAAGCCACAGGAAATAGATAGCCTTCAATTATTTAAAGAGTTATTTCTCATTGGATTTAATACCCTTGTTATGTTTGATTTGGTATAGGTTTTTACTCTTTGATGAGAAAAAGCTGGGCTTTGAGTAGTTTCTCTTCATTTTAAAACTTTACGAAGTGAATAAAACTAGTGATATGATAAAAGAGTACTTGCAACTCGAGCCTTCAAAACATGCTAAATATCGATTGCTCACTGTAATGATGACAATAATATGGTTATGTCATCTATTTGCTTGTCTGTTCTTCGTTGTCGGGAGAATACAACTGAACAAGAAAGTAGGTAGTGTGTCATGGTTGAATAGTTGCGATGTGGTAACTCTCAATGGAGGATATGAAGACATGCCGATTTCAGAATTACATTTATACTCATTTTATTGGGCTGTAACAACGATGATATCAGTAGGATATGGTGATGTTACACCTATGAATTTCTGGGAGGTTTTTGTGACTGTCATAACTCAATTCATCTCTTGCATCGTCTTTGCTTATTCAGTCAATGCTATATGGGAAATGATTTACTCTCAGAACGAAAGCAAATAAAAATTCCAGTATTTAGCAATTTATTTCATTATAGAAAGTATGTGAATGCCATCTAAAGATTCATGGTAGAACACAATGTGGATCGAAAATTGAAGGCACGTATTGATGCTTACCTAGTTCATCTGTGGCAAACCGAAAAGGCCAGAGATCACGAATTGGAACAAGCCATGATCCTTAAATTGGCACCTGCCTTAAGAGAAGAATTGATCTATTAAACCTTGGGTAAAATGCTCACACACAGCAATTTCTTCTCTTGTTTCTCATAAGATTTCCTTATGGAATTGGCATAACAAATATAATAACAATATTATGCCTAAGAAGAAAACATCTTCCTTCAAGAAGAAGAAACTGATGATTTCCCTTTGTATTTTTTAGATAAAGGGTAGGTTGAAATCTTTTTAGACTGTGAGAAAAGAATTAAGTTACATATCATGAAGAAGGGCATTTTCGGAATAATCGGATTCATCACTGGATACAAAAGAACTGCATCTGCTCGTTGTCTTACTTATTCAGTTGTTTACAAACTTTCTAGAGTGGCATTTCTTAAATTATTGGATAAATACGAAACTGATAGACAAAAATTCTATGAAATAAGACACAATGTCTTATTCAATAGTGATTCCTCGAAGTTAAAGTTGCGATGTTACATTTGTGAAAGTAGAGGTCATCTAGCTATTAATTGTAAAAAGAGTCTGTATCTTCCAATCAAAGAATAGGTCATTTATTCAACTTTTAATGTTTAAAATAATAGACAACCTTGTTTCAAAAGAAAAATAGTTAAATAGTAATTCAAGGCACTTTCTCATATTCGAGATGTTTAAGTGAATGCCTAGGCTATTAAGAAGTACTTCTAGATTACCACTTTTAATTTGGATTCAAATGATGAGGATGATGAATACAGCTCAGATGTAGATGATTATGAGGAGGAGATTGAAAATATCAAGAAGATTGTTGAATAGGAAAAGGAGAAAGCATAAATGAAATAGAGAGGACAATGGTTAGCTGATGATAATTATGAGATGAAGATTGATGAAAATAGAGATAATTAGAGTGTAGAGTTGTCAGATGGCTTACGCAAGTCGTCATTAAATATGAAGAATTCAGAAGAGGAATAGAAGAAAGTGAAAAAAAAGAAAAAGTTCCAAAGCTTTGCCAAATTGCCATTGCCCAAAAGAGTGAGGACTTCATCAATGTCTAGTTTGACTCCCATTCAAGAGTAAGTTAAGAAGGTTGCCAAAGGATAAAATTATGTATTTCCTAATAATGTCCAAGTGCAAAGGAGGAAAAGCAAACTATTTCAAGGCAATGAGGTTAACGACTATTAAAATGAGAAAATGCCATCGCCTGACAGAGCAACAAATAACGAAACTAAGAAATAAGAGCTGATACGGAAAATGAAATTTCTGTCTATTGCTTAGCCTAGGAACAAGGAAGTCTAATTAATAATAGAAGAGTTGAGGTAACATAGTCAAATCATAAAATAGGACTTACATCTAGAGTACTTATGGTAACACCCAACCTCCAAAAATTGATAATGAATTGAACTCTAATACCAATGCTAATGCTAATTCTGATGTGGATAGCTAATTTAGTATTGATCACATGGCCAATTATGAATGCTTCTTTTAGGAAGAGAACCCGGAGAAAGTGATTCGAAAATATAAGAAAACATTTAAAGAGAAAGTGAAATTGAGGAGAACAACCTTAATTAGATAATAGGATGATTGAAATAAATTATCAATTTTATTTCAAATGTATTATTAATTATTAACTTCAAAAATATACTTTTGAGACATATATTACTTAATTTGTAATTGTCTCAAAATAAAGTAATATCAAGTATGCAATTCGTGAGCAAACTTGAATGATATCCTTAAAATTATTCTCAATTAGGGTTTAAAAATGAAGAATAAATAAATATTAGAAGGGGTCTAGGAGTCTTGTTAAGATCAAAAAAGACAAAACTTTAATGTAATTTAAGACATCAATTTAGAAAGAGTCCATCATTAAGTAATTGAAGAATCTTATTATCAGGATCAGAAAGACTTGAAAAGAAAGCAAATTAGATTGCATGCATAACTATTAAGTTGATTAACTTTTGAAAAGCATCGAAATAATGGAAACTATGATCTGTAATAGATATACTTTAGAACTGAAAAAGAAATCCGTTTAATATGACATTATTTATTATTAAAAAATTTAATAAATTTAACGTATATATGAGTCAATTGGAACCATTTGAACATCATTATAGTAATCAATATTTGGAGGTATTCGGATGCTGTCATTAAAATCGACACACTTATTCTGACAAAGTCGTATGCAAGGAATGTGGGATATTTTTAAATAATGTAAATATTTTTCATAATCTATGATAGCCAAATACAAGAGTATATAAAACACTGAAAATGAAATTTAATGCTTATTTCAATCCGATCAAAGTGTTATAAAGTATCTTAGTTGAAGGAACACCGAAAGGACCTGCTAAACAACGCTAACAGATTATCGAATTCATTTTGTAGGCTTCTGAAAGATTAAATCTATCTTTAAATACATCATTTTTAGCTATTAACTACATTGATGAATATTTCAGCAGAGTTACGATCAATGAAAATTAAACCTATTTATTTGTAGCAACTGCCTTAATGCTTGCAGCAAAAGCCTAAGAACTTGATGAACGAGTCCCTTTCATTAGTAAACTGAAAAGATATGCCTCAATGACTAATCATCCTGAAGTCAATCAATATTCAATTCAAGAGTACAAATTTGCAGAGAGATCCTTGATTCAAACTATGGACTGGAAATTGCAAAGAGTCACCTTACTAGATCGAATAGAGGCTCTCCTATCATTTGGAGTTATAGATGATGATGATAGTTTGGGACAGCAACTACAGAAAGAAAACAAGGATAGTTCACATTAATAGCACGTTAAATTGAGGGATCTTTAAGAGAGTTAAATATTATAATATGTGAAAGAGGTTGAGAGTAAGTATGCAGACATAGCATTACAAATCATAAGAGGTATCACAACTTAAGTAATAATTAGATGATCACTTGTATTTCGAAACAGATCAGACTATCCTAGCACTATCTTGTGTGGCTTACTTGAGAAAGAAGGCAGGATTACTCAACATTTGGTCATAGTAATTACAGTGTCTGACTGGTATAAGTGCATAAAAGATATCCTCTTCTGTTTCACAAATTATGACACTTATTGCTAAAAGCAAGAGTTTTAAAACTATCACTTCACTTTAAATAAACCCGTAGGAAGTTTACTTTTAACCTTTAATGCCTACTAATACATTGACGACCATCAGTACTAATCATCTCAACAATCGACCATACCCATTCGAAACCAAACGGTAATCTTATGGGGATATTATGATGCAAAATAGTAAACTGAAGATTTATTAATCATAATCGACTCTGCAAATGCTTGATGTGCAGAAATAAAACCATTTATATAAAAATACTAATTTTACTACAACCACCAATTATTCATACCTCAACGAGAATCCTGTTCCTCATACTCACATGGTGCAATAGTTTGCTGCTTTACAAACTCAAGAACTTGACAAAAAGTATGAACAAGTGCATAAAGTAAGTGCTAGCATGTTCAGGCCTATTTAATGATTATATGAATTATTATATCATTACTATTGCTAGAACATATATTTTATAGCTTAATCAATGAATTTGTATACATATTGGTATTGTTCTGATGTGTGCACCATTCCCCATCGTTACTCTCTCAATCTTCGCACTACTCCAAAAACTGAAATCCGAAACTAATCTGGGTTCTCAAATATTTCTTGCTTTATTAATATTATTGTACTCGCATTGTCAATTCCTATGTGTGATTTGTAGGTTGTGAGAATGATCATCAGGTTTACCAAGGATATCAGCGTTCCTGTTCTCCCTACTCCTGCACTAGAATATTGAAAATGAATATTAAATTACCTGCAGTGAAATACTACTTTCTAATCATTCAAGACCTTGTCCAAAATTTGATTAATCAATTCCATTATTATATTGAAGTCGTTATGATTGGGCACTCCTTAATCTGGCCATCCACACCATTATAAATGAATTATTTATTTTTCTTCTCCATTTTGTTCTTACATTTACAGAGTCCTTTTTATTATATTGTTTCCCAAATCTTCTTAACTAACGAAATTTATAGTAATATTTCCTACAAGTAAACTCTCTCCTATATTTCTAGGCCAGTATTACTCACATTACACCTTTCATAATTTCAACACTTCAATTACCTTTCCATTTTCTTTTAGATTACAAAGCATTACAATGCTTTATATATTTTCTTAAGAAATCATCCTCCAAAAATGTCCTATTGTTTAGGTCACTGGACCTTAAGTGGCTATCATCATTTTCTCCTTTCCATTTATTAGCTAACATCTTCAATCATTTCTTTACATTAATGTAATCAGCATTTATATATGATTCCTTTTAGTTCTCTTCTTCATCGCATTTCAACTTGACTATTGAATGTTTAACTATGATAACTTTTAATGATACAAGGTAAGATGTTGCCATATCGGTTTAACTTCAAAATGTCAGGGTGAAAATCATATAGGTTTTCATTGTG